AAAAAGAAGAGGTCTTCAGTTTTTTTGGAGAACGGCAGGTGCTACTCTCGCGCACAGCTCCGTTTTGTTGATTGTTGCTCGAGTTAGTTCTGATAGATTTGGGATGTTATTTCCTTTAGGTGATACATTCACGAGCATTTTGCTTGCTAGTCGATGATACTTTGTGTTCTTTAAGTTATCTTTGGTAAGTTGTTCGGCATACTATCTGCCATCTTCAGTAGTTAAGTTTCATCATTGAGTTTCCTTGATGATATACTTGCTATTGAATTTTGTTGCATGGCCAAACGTGATGATCTTGGTGGTTCCTATACTATACTATTAGTTTATCGGATGATAACTTACTTGGAATACTTTTGTGTTCTAATCTAAGATATACTCATTGATAATTAAATCTCTAAGATATCATTGTCTATGACTTTGATATTGTCCATCTATTAATCTTTGATTTTGGGCCCCGAGAGATCAAATAGTTGATGCTCTCAATCCAAGTGTGGGTGGCACTACCTACTTGGATACCAGGCGTGGCTCAACAGAACCTTGCTCTAAGCCCATGGCTAGAGCACCCAAATGCGGAAGGCAGGGAGAGTACCTTTAAGGCCCGCGTAGGGTCACAGTGTTTTGAAATGTTGTCCCAAAGTCCCAATCTGTGGAAAGGAAGAGGAGTAACCCTCTTGTGTGGTGACCAAGGACACAGTCACACAGTGAGGAAATCCTAGAGGACCATGAGACTTAGCAGTCAGGCCTGTGGGCCTTGATACAGTGGCAGTGTTGGCGAATATGACCATGGAAAGAAAGGGACTTGGTGTGGACTGGAAAGGAGGTATTGGGGAAGGCTATTCCCCATATCTGTGGGCATCCTAAGGATGGTAAGGAGTGGATCTGAGATGACCACTTATGGACAGATGGCCCAGTCTTGAAGATATAGGATTGCAATGCCGGTGGTGTTAGACCATTGATGTGACCAAGGTGAATGGGCATGGCTTAGCTTAATGGGCTGATATGTTGGTGGTACCTTAGGGTGTTCATCATGAGATCGGACACGTGGAGCACTTGGACCAAGTGCAAAGGTTAAGTGGCATGGATGCCTTTCTCAGGGCAAGCAGGCCCCAAGTCCTGAATTGGACTTATGGAGGGTGTGAATAAAACTCCTCCAAGTGGTTGAAGGTATAGTTAAGTGACTAAAGTAGAATGGAAAAATTAATTGCTTACAGCTCAATTCTTTTCTAGAAAACCTTGTTATTACTCCTTTTAAGTTATGGGATTCTTGATGAACATTGTGATTTGATATGTATAAGTGGTTCTTTGTTCAATGGAAAGGATTACAAATTTGGCATAATATTCAATAAGCTAATCCTCCAAAACTTGTATATATACAACAATTAAAGTCACAAATCCATTAATACCTTTTTTTGATATTCCTATTAGCCCATCAACAAAAGAAATTAACTACCTTGTATCCTTCTAAGAAGAGGCAATGATGTAAAGTCCATATATATGGCTATGAGCATATTGATATTTTAATAGTTTTAATTTAGATTATTCTCTCTTATATAAAAGCTAGGGTTTTTAAGTTAATTGAATGTGCACATTTCTATATTCCATGTATTTATAATTTAAATTTATAATTCTTTATTTATTTTTTAATTAAAATAAAATTGTAATTTAGAAAAATTAATTTCCTAGCCACTAGCACTAGCCCTAGGAACTCTAACTCCAGTGAGCTAGGGTCATCCTCTCAACTTGATTGAAGCACCATTACTAAATATTAAATAATATTTATTATTGTCTTAATAATACTTTAGAAAAAATTAACAACATGAAAAATCAAATATTGCTTTTTCAATAGTAAATTATTTTAATATTTTTAGCTATAAATGAATTTTTTTAAAGAAATCTTATTTAAATCTTACTCATATTAGCGCATTTTACAACACCTCGATGCCAGTCCGTCCAACTTGCGATGGCTACTTGTTTCTTTCAGATTTGTCCTGATCGGTTTCACAGTTAAAAGCGATTCTGCAGTGCTTAAAGATTACCTTTGCTCTTGGGAGCAAATTTGGACGGGCACACTGAAAATGCAAGCCGCCGCGCGGCAAATGCGAGAGTGAAACGCTCCTCTTCTGTGAGCAATCTCTCAATCACTTTAACCGTTATGAGGTCCTTGAAAAAGAAACATGTAAGAAAAACTTGAAAGAAGGAATGGACAAAGCACCTGTGGCATTGGCGAATGGATCACACCCTCGGGTGTCGTTGACGCTCGACCACCAACAAACAAGACGTTGTTTACGTTTCCCCATCTGTCCATCTCAGTTGGGAGACTGTTGGAGTGCCTCCACTGTCCGCCAACGATGAACTTGTATTGATACCTGCGAAGTTTTGATGATCGATCATGGTTCTATATGAGATTCCGAGATCCATGACACATACTTCCCCTGTGGGACTCGAAGATCAACAATATACTTTGGCCCACTCGCGTGCGTAGCCTTTATAGGCTCGTTCCATCCGCCACCTTTAAAATCCCCCACGATCAAAACCTCTTCCCCCTGGGCTTCAAAAGATTACGTTTCACTCAATGGCTGAATGGTGGCTATACGTACCTCTTTGCAACCATGGTTCCACACAAACTGAACAGCGTGAGTAGGAGGTCCATCGTGGTTTCGTTTCTCCACCATGGCGATCAAATCCCAGGTGGCCCATACCAATGCTGGCCTGTAGCAACGAGCAAAGAAAGCATGAGTTTTAACGCCATCAGGCTTGAGAGACTCACCTGTCTGGACCACAGAGATGAAGGTTCGTGACGAAATCGACGGCACTCTGAAGCGGAACGTCTTGTATCCAATGCAAATAGGCAATGACACAAGCGGGAGCTCTATCCATGCCGCTCGTGCATGTAACGTATACGTGATGTCCGGCTCTCAAAAGCCGGTACAGAATTCCCACTGCGAGTGGGAGCTTTCTTCTCAGGTCGACGGTGTCGACGTCTCTGAAACGAAGGAAAACGGATAACTTTGCTCCGACACACTAGAAAGTAAAGTGCGTGCCTGATTGGACAATGTGCCAGGACCATTCCGTTTGCTTGAGCAGCTTCTGTAATAGAGCTCTTGTCAATGCCCCAGTTGAGTTGCTCGCTCTCGGATTGTAAGTTGAGAATTGCAGTGATACCCTGTGCAAGACAAAAGCAAGTTAACCAAGACCTGGAGATTGTCAAAGCTTGAAGCATACCATTTGTTTGAGCTGTTGCATTTCTGCTCCATTTTGTAAACAAGATCCCACGACGATGTGCTCTGTCATCTGGAAACAAATAACGTTCGGAAAAAAATGAAAGACAATAAAGTAGAAACGCCATACCTTCGTGTAGCGAAGACCAAAACGATGGCTGTAAGTCAAGTCCTTTGAAGCTCTCAGCTGAGCGCTTGTAAACTCCTGAAGTTGAAAGTTGCCGTGCGACCACTCCACTTGTCCGTCCAGGTCTTCGTCCGTGCTGTACCTAGCTATGACCTCAAACGACGCTTCCAAGTTGTGCCATATATCTAGCTCGGCTCTCTCGGACCGTTCATTCTCGTCGTCATCGTCATCTTCATCGTCGACACCCGTAAAGAAGATCGCGAGCTGCCTGATCCCTTTGGGAAGCAAGAACCTCCAAGCGTATGTAACGAATCCCACATTTCCACCACCATACTCGTCGGCACTCTCAGGTTGATTGGGAGAAGCGAAGCCGCTGTTATTCCAAGTTGCCGATCCCACTGCCCCGTAGTTGAATGTATTCTCTAGCTTGGATTCCAGTATGAGCGCCTGGATGTGTGATGGAAACAGCGATCTCTCTAGGACCAGTGTCACTTCTCCACTCCGGGTTTTCATCGTGTTCCTGGAAGTTACACGTTTAGAGTATAGCAGAACATTGTCAAGAGATCAATCAACTATCATATCCAGAAGAACATCCAGATAGAAGTCCATTGTCAAGAGATCAATCAACTATCACATCTAGAAGAACATCCAGATGGAGTATAGCTGTCAAGAGATCAATCAACTATCACGTAGTTAGAAGAAGAAGAAATAGAAATCCAGAAGCTCATGAAGAAACTAAAGGAGAAGAAGGTGGTGGAAGAAAGACGTACAATACCCGGCCAAAATCATCCACATTCCACACAGCATCGCCAAACAAGACCTTCTTGAGCACGTCGCCTACCATGATCAGCCGGGAATTCTCCGCATTGCCCTGGAATCACGAGAAAAAACCATGTAAATTTTCCTTTCTCTTCTTCAAGCCAAGAAGAAAAAAGAGGAAGAGGAAAGAACTACCTATGGAGAGCTAACCTGCTTGGCGAGAGCATCCACGAACACCTTGCCACTGAGCGTCTGCGCGAATCGAATGCCCAGCGGCTTGTGGATTGTCACCAGATACTCGTTGAGATTCATCTTGAATGCGTTGCGCGCACCGACGAGCGGCGAATCCTCCCGCTGCTGCGCCCTGGCGGATAATCCCCGCCGCCGCCGCCACCGCCACCGCCGCCGCTCCGCCACAATCGAGCGATGATCGCCCCTGGCGCCGGCGAGACGGACCTTGCGCGGCAAGAAATCGCCCCAGCCGGCAGCACCGATCATGGATCGATGATCCAGTGCTGCGCACGCCATCGCCGTAGCTCCAGCTTCCATCATGGAATATTTTGTGTGCGTGGAGAGAGAGAGAGAGAGAGAGAGAGAAAGCCTGGGGCATATATTAAGCTAGGCTAGGGCGAGGAAGAAGTAGAGCTCTTGGCGATGGCGTCCGCGAGGCCGCATTACGGCGCTGGAGCGCTCCAGCGGTCGGGAATGCTATCCAAGGAGCAGCTGTTTCGCCTCTTCCTCGAATTCGCGCATCTCGTCGACAAGCCCGGTTTGTGTGATTTCTTTCTGGGAAGAATGTAGCTGCTAGATCGCTCTTGATTTCTCGAATTCGTTGCATTCATAGAACTCCGAGTGATTCACCATCTCTAGCTTCAAATCTCTCGAATTTCTTTCCTATCACTTCTTTGGATCTCTTACAATTCTTTGCACTATTGCAGAAGTAAAAAAGCGAATCTCGGACGCAGTACAAGCAAGACAGGCAAGTTCTTCCTCCTTTTTCCCTGGACTTAACACAGACTTTAGGAAGCAGTGGGGGTGACGACTGAGATCCAGGAAGAAATCTTTCTGCGAATGGGTGTTGGTAAGCAAAACATCTCTCACAAGAGCAGCAGTGCTTTAATTTCTTCTTTGCAGAGCCAAAGTTTGGGATTGCATCGCTGGGGAAAGTGAACACAGTTTACAAGGACGACCGAGAACTCATGCTCAAGTTCTACGAGTTCGTTGCCAGGTATGAAATGCCAGTCGCAAGTTTCTGATCCACCAGCCGCTCGCATCGCAGAGAAGAGATGGCGTGTGACGAGGCGGAGCTCGGAAGAGATGCATTTCAGCAAAAGATGCAGCAGTTCACAAAATCTCAAGAACAGGTTAAGCTTGGTCTTGTTAAAAGGATTGCAACTCAAACACTCTCTTTGTATCGCTCTAGCAACTCAAGTTATTACAGCAGCTTCGAAATCTTTCTCTAGACAGGCAGCAAGCCTTCTTCCAAGACGTAAGTCCATTCCTTTTATAAATACCGGTCTAATCTTTTCTTGTTTATTTTGTTGTTGTAGCTACAAGCTCGAATGCAGTATCTTCACAAGCAAGGAGCTCCCAGCATGAGCACGAGAGACATCCAAGATTTTCACCAGCAGTTCCTCATGCGCAGTAACTAAACACTGAGGTAAGATCTTTGGTCGCTTCGTTCGATCTGATCAGCATTCCTGTCAATCCTAGCAGCGTGATTACCGTGATTCTTCTGTGTAGGGCTTCACTCTCGATTTTATTCACAAAAACGTTGTCAGTTTGACGTTGCTTTTCTTTTCCTCTTCTTGGTCTTGTGTTCCTTGCTCTTGCTCTTTTTCCGCTTGCGATCCTTGCTATCCTTCTTTGAAGATCCACCATCGTCTTCGGACTCAGTCGCCTTCGCCTTGGCCTTTGTCCATGCGTCCGCCACCTTGTCCGGCAACCGAGGCCCGATGAGCCGATCTTCCCAATCTTCCTTTGTTCTCGACACCTCGGACGCATTCGTCGACGTCGTGGCCATCGTCTCTGCTGGATACGGGCCAGTGTCATCCATTCGTGATCCAACCGAGCCCCTCCCTCGTTTGATCCTCGTGTTTAGAAACTCCTCCACTTCGTCGTCCCGGAGATCGTTGGAGCACGCTGCCTGTGGATCGATCGAGTTCTCCACCGCTCCTTCCTCTTCTTCGTTCATCTGTCTAGCTCTCGAAGACGATCGGGGAGACTGATGCCGCCGCCTCCTGTCCAGATTGAGCTCCGCAGTTCTTCGTCTCCACATCTCGTTGATCTCTACAATTCGATTTGCTGCGAAGGAGAATGATAGAATAAGCGTTACGGTTTGTAGAAGAAAAAAGAATGAAAAAATCAAAGGTCAAAGGAAAAAATTTGGACAATCCAAGCAAGGCTAGAGGGATCAGTATCAACACAGAGGAGACATCACTTACATTGCTCAACGCTACGCATTGTCGCCTGGAGGAACTGTGGATTAGGCCTCACGCGGACGGTGGGCTTGGCAAGGTAGACATGGACGCCTTCCTTGTCCGCCCGCCGCCGCAGCAGCGCCGCCTCCTCCATGATCATCTTCGCGAGCCGCCTCTCCGTCTCCTCATCCATCCCTCTCTCTCTCTCCGCTCCGCGTCCTCAAAACCCTAGCTCCAAAGAGCCCTAAAAACCATTTGACTCACACAGTACCATATACTCGTGAGTCATGCCTTTGGTTTGGGTGCCCGTTGGCGGCAAATCGGCGATTGCAGCTCGAAATCGCCCCCCAGCTGCCATCGCTGCTGCCGCCGCTGTGCCTGGATCGCCGCGGGATAGGAAATGGAAGTTTTTGGAGGATTTGAGCGCGCCAGTGCCGAGTTTCTTGGAGAATCTCAAGCTCGTCTGTGCCGCTGGTACGATTTCAATGCATTCATCGTGGTATACGATCAAGCACAAAAAAAATTTCCTCCGCGCTATTCGGTTTTCCCGAAGTTCTTCATCGTTCTCTTGCGATAAGCAAACCAGTTTTCTCAATTTTTTGTGCCCTGCATCTTTTTTTCCTGTTTCCCAGGAAAAAAATCTTCATAAGAAAATCTTCTCTTTTTTTTCTCGTTCTCTCTGACTTTTTTTCTTGCTAGTTCTTCATCGTTTCTCTTGATCGACTAAAAAGGTGATAAATGTTTTTCGCTTTTTGTGCCTGTTTCTTTGCCTGTCTTTTGCTTTCCCAGGGAATAAATCTTTTTTTTTTTCTTGCTACTTCTCATACTTTTTCCTCGTTTGATGTCCCAGGAACAGGAAAGAAGTTTCACGTAATCCGCCGCGAGCTGACCAAGGCACTGGAGAACTCCCCAGCGCCGGGGCCATGCACATTCATCGCGCGCTGCATCGACGCGCTACTCCGCCTCGAGGATCCATCCGACCAGACCCTCGGTCACCTCATCACTCGCTCGCTCGACGAGCTGGATGAATCCTTCAAGTCGGACTCGCAAGACATCTCCTGCTCCAAAAGAGTAGCCGCCAAGCTCGTCAAGTCGGCCATGTCCGGCGATCTCACGCTTGACGAGCGATTGCTCGTGAGGCTGGTGACCACTTTCGGAGTGGAGTTATCTGATCTTGCCGAGTCCGATCAAGACGAAGAACACGACTGCTCTTGCATGGACGAGAAAAAAGAAAGTTCCATCAGCGAAGCGAGAAAGCTGGGCGAGAACCTTGTGCTTAAGCTGGTGAAGGGGCGATCTTACAACAGCGCGGTGGCTCTCCTCAAGAGCTTTGGGCTGGAGGAATGCACGGGGCGAGAGTTTCTCGTCACCATGGTACGTGATAACCAGGTGGACTTGGCGGGGCAATGGGCCTGGCACTTGGGGCCCGAGAGCTGCCGCTTCCTCGTCCAGCATTGCACAGACAGGAAGCTCTTCAAGATGGCGTACAGGCTTGTCGACCGCTATGGCATGCATGACGAGTTTCCAGAGGCGTATCACCTTTACAAACGCAGGTATTGGAAAGTTTTTGCTCGTTTTTCTCGTTTTGAGAGTCGGACTTTGCAGCTCGCTCAGGAAACTTGTCTCCAAAGGCCTGTGGGTTTTTGCGGAGAGCATTGCTAGTTCGGACCGTGTTCTACAGGAATACCTGGTAAGTAATGTGTTTTTTGTTCTCTTTTTGCTGAAACATATGCGTGCTGCACAGATTTCTTTGGCACTGGGAAGGAAACAACACAATCGAGCTGCGCAACTTTGCGAGCTGTTCCACCTCGACGATCTCGACTTATCTTCAAGTTAAGCATGCCTGTTTTCTTATTGTTTTCTCGATCTTGTTTTCAATCTTGTTCTGGTATTTACAACGAAAGTTACGTGCAGTCACAATTGAAATACTAGAAGAAGATCCGGTTGGCGACTACATTCAGCTCGAGAGCATCGTCGACTTGGACAGAGTCGTATGGGTTGATGATGCCGAAGGCACGAAGCTCGTCACCAAGCATCTAATCGAAGCTGAGGCGATTGGAATCGACTGCGAGTGGAAACCAGTGAGCACCAAAGGCGAGCAAGCTAAGGTTTGATCTTAGTTTATCTTTCTCAAGCTTCTTTCACTGTTTTCTTTTCAGGTATCCATCTTACAAATGGCCAGCAAGGAAGACGCCTTCGTGCTCGATTTACTCGGACTGTCCGTCACAGCACCCCAAGCTTTAAATCTTTGCATCAGCACCCTTTTCCAATCAGAGGAAATCATAAAGCTCGGTACGTCTCCATCGCTTTTTCTAAGTGTTTCTCTTTCTCTCGCTTCACTCACAGGCTATGCCGTACACAATGACTTGGAGATGCTAGCAGAGTCGTTTCCGGAAGTGGACGGTTTCAGGTCTTGTAAAACGATAATTGACCTGCAAGTTTTTCCTGACAAGCTTTCGGCGGGAGGACTCTCTGGACTAACGAAGGTAATAAATTGCAAGAATCGATTTTTTTCCCTTTCCATTCACTCAGCATCAGCTTTATGTGTATGAAGTTGACGATGGGAGGCCATCTTGACAAAGACGTGCGTATGACTGATTGGAACCGGCGTCCACTCTGCAAAGAACAGGCAAGTATTTTTCCATTTTTCTTATAAACTTCGATCGAAAAGCTAAGCCTGATCGTGGTTCCAGTTGCATTACGCAGCATTGGATGCAGCGATTCTACCCTTGATCCACGAGAGCTTGTGTTCGTCGCACTGCCTAAAGGATCAAGGACGCAGCCGAGCCAAATCATGGAAATATGTAAGTTAATCTTTGCTTGTTGCTCATGCTCCATTGGTCACCTTTCGCTACCAGAGATTCAAAGCTACAGTCGATTCCTCGAGAGCAGCAGTGGTCAGTAGTACTGTTTTGTTCTTTCCTGTTTGTTTTCTCCAACCTTTTGCTCGTGATTTTGTCTCTACAGGATCAAGTGAAGAACGAGCTCCAAGAGCTAGCTCTCGCGGCTGGATTGCCGCGGCCGATTTACAACACTGTTTTCTCAGGGCCGGATCACTCCAGGAAGTTCTCCTCCACCGTCACTGTTGCTGGCCGGATCATCCAAGGAGGCCCCGCGAGCAAAAAAAAAGACTCGGAAGTCTCGGCAGCGAAAGTGGCGATCGCGTTAATTCACGAAGGTATGATCTTCTTCTCTTCTTCTTCTTTCGCGATTGTCTATAACTTGGTTTGACCACAGGAATTCTTACCACTGATGAAAGTGTAGTAACTAGTCAAATAGAAAATTCCAACGGCTGCGATTGAGACTGGGAAAGTTAAAAGGTAGAGATACCACTACTATTGGCTTTACTCTTTTTTTTCCCTCCTATAGCAGTGCGCGATGGTTTCTTCTTCTTCTCCCTCCCAATCTCCCACTCGCGATCGCGAGGCTTGCTCCCGGAATGACGATTTCGATCCAAATCGCTACGTCGAGAGCTCCGGCCTGAGAATTGCGCTCGCGTCGGGGCTCAAGATCGTGGCGTGCTTCGTCGTCATGGCGATCACCACGGCTATCTGGACTGGCGTGATGCTGCTGCTCCTCCCCTGGCCCTACGAGAGGATCAAGCAGGGAAATCTCTATGGCCACATCACTGGGAGGATCCTGGTAGGCAGGGAGCACGAATATTTCATCGTGATTTTGTGTGGATTTCGTCTTCTCCCAGCTCTGGATTCTTGGAAACCCTATCAAGATCACTGGCGCCGAGCACGCCAATGCCAAGGCGATCTACATTTGCAATCACGCGTCGCCGCTGGACATCTTCCTCGTGATGTGGCTCACGCCGCTGGGGACCGTCGGGATCGCCAAGAAAGAGGTGAGAATCGCGATTTCCTGATCGATCAATCGATTATCGCTCTCTTTGTGGTAGATTATCTGGTACCCGCTCTTCGGCCAGCTCTACGTGCTCGCCAATCACCTGCGAATCGACCGCTCCAATCCCAATGCCGCGATTCGCTCCATCAACGAGGTGAGGATCAATCGATTTGGCGATGATTCAGTCACGATTCGTCGCAATCTCTTCTCCCAGGTCGCCAAATCCGTGACGAAGAAAGACCTATCGCTCATAATCTTCCCCGAGGGGACGCGATCGGCCAGTGGCCGACTCCTTCCATTCAAGAAAGTAAGCTTTACACGGAAGAACACACACAGTACCGTACGGTGTGGCTTACTCTCGTTCTCTTTTATCTTCTCTTCCACAGGGAGTTGTTCACATTGCCTTGCAAACAAAGCGTCCCATTGTTCCAATCGTGATCACGGGCACCCACCGCGCCTGGCACAAGGATAGCCTCAAGATCCGCCCAGCTCCACTGACAGTGAAGTTCCTTCCTCCAATCGAGACGCAGGAATGGCTTCCAGAGAAGGCCGATTCATACCTGGAGATGCTGCGCTGCCTCTACGTCGATAACTTGCCCGAGTGCCAAAGGCCACTGAACTGAGCGTTTCTACTCGACCGTACAAGGTATAGTAAGGGAAAGAGGATGCTCTGTTCTTAGGGATGGTTCTAGGGGTGGCAGCGGCTCCGGCCTTCTCTCTGCTGTGGCCGCCGCGGCACAGCGAGAATGCGGTGCTGGGAAACAGGTTTTGTGGCTCAGGCAAGCTTGGGCAGCACAGAAATCGTCTGGGTTCCAAGGTAGGCTGTAGTTCTGAATCGTATAGTCGACGACTAGAGGGAGTTCATAGATTCGAGGCTCGAGGAGAAGCCTATGGTAGTGGCAGCGAAGAATTTGAGTCTGGAGCTTGGGGTGAACTAGGTGGTGAAAGCAGGGCCTTTGACGACGAAGAAGCAAGAGAATATGGTGATGGAAAAGAAGAGCTAGAGTCGGAGGAAGAAGGTAGTGAGGAAACCGAAAGGGGATATGGTGAAGACAACGACGACGAGGAAGAGGGATTAGAATCGGATTATAGTGATGAGGAGGACCGAGCAGACGAGGAAGACTTAGAATCGGATTATAGTGATGAGGATGGACAACAGAACGAGCACGAAGAAGAAGGTGGCAGCGAGGAAGAAGAGAACGAGGACGAAACGACTAGTTTGGCTGCAACCAGGGTAGACCGACCGTTTCCGCTGCCTCTGGTGACTGGCGGACGAGGCCCATATCCGGGACCGAGTAGAGTGGATCCTAGGAGACGAAGAGGTGGTCTCGGGCAACCAGTTCACAGACTGTTCATTCTCAAGCCTCCAATGAGCGAGAGGCAGCTTGCTAGGAGAATTCTAGCCAGTCCCCAGCTGAGGCTAAATTCACTGCCTGTTCTGAGCTCGTTGCTGCCGGTGGCTCCTTTCACGGAATTCGACAAGGAGTGGATCCACGAGAATATGGTGGAGGTGAAGGACATCCTTGGATATGGGAAGGTTGGCGAAGATTACGACCGGGACGTGGAAGATGACGAGAAGTTCTGGCAGCACAGCAGTCCGGATCCAAAGGCACATCTGCACACATTTTTGTACCTTGCGTTCCAACACGAGGAGAGCTACAGGGCCAAGAGGATGCGGCACACACGAGTCGGACACTACAGGCTTGCGTTCCTTGGAGAGTTCGTGTTGGATCTGGCAATGGCGGAGCTGCTACTGCAGATGTATCCCCGAGATACGCCAGCAAGCTTGAGAGAACGAGCATTTGCAGTGACGAACAAACGGGGCCTCGAGCGTATTCTGTCCGATGCCGGGCTTCACCAGCTTGCTTTCCCAGAAGACGAGAATTTTCGTCCGAGGTTTCCGCAACGGTGCCTGCTGTCCAAGTAAGCGTGTCATTCTTCACGAACTTTGCAGATGTGTGCTTGTTCTCTCTTCCCTGCAGGTCTGTGTTCCTTGCTCTCATTGCAGCCGTTTATTTGTCACTCGGTATGTCCGAGGTGTACAAGCTGCTGTTCGAGACGTTCGCATTTGATTTGGACGCAAAGTCGGCACAGCCTAAAGTGAGATCAAAACACGAGGATGTGGATCATGTGTCAGCGGACTTCGAGGGCCGACGACTCACCTGGAAAGATATTGCATTTTACAAGGTAGAGTAACACATCCTTCGAACTGACTCCTGATTTGACTTCATCTATCTTCCCCAGCCACCTGAGGATGCGTTATTTGCCGCTCCGAGGCTCTTCAGAGCTTGTGTACCACCTGGCATGTACCGTTTCCGGAGAAACCTGTGGGACGTGGAGTCTCGTCCCAAAGTCATGGACATACTGGGCTACCCTTTGGATGTAAGAGACGAGAACCTGGATATGACAGAAGCCAGAGAAATCGAGCTGGGCTTGGGACTCCAGGTAACTTCCTCAAGTTTCCACGAAAGCGCCTTGTCATCCTCTCCTTTGTTTTTAACAGCTGTGCTTCATGCATCCCTCGGCTTACAAGAACGACCACCCCCGGTTTTGTTACGAGAGACTGGAGTTCATAGGATCAAAGATCCAGGTAATAGCAAATTTTCGTTCGTTTCTTATGGTTTGGAAGGATCATACTCGAGAAAACAGGACGTTGTCATGGCGGAGAGGCTACTGATGAAACACCTGGACGCCCCGGCGATCTTCCTCAACAGGATCCACCGGGGAATTACAATCAACCGGATCTGCGGGAGGCGACTGCGCATGAAGAGGCTCCACAAGTTCATCACCTACGGCGAGGAGCGGCAGCTTGAGTTTGCGAGGTGCCACCGTCTGAGGAACTTCACGCACTCAGCCACCCAACAAGCGCTACACGGCCTGGGCTACATTGTTTACGGTAAGGCGGAGGTGAGGCGGCTCATGTTTGACGTGTTTGAGTTCGAGAAGCCGCTGCCGACGCAAGCGGACTTCAATGACATGCTGGCGTCACAGGGTCGCCGGTTTGTCAACACCTTGCAACCCACTTATTAAGTTAAAATCACATAACCAATGTCAGATTTTATTTGATGTGTAAAACATTTTGATATTTGTGCTTGTGTTTAGGAGTTGAAATATACTATTTATATTTGAAATGATTTAACAATTTATAGTATAGCTTTTATTAAATATATTTCAATTTTCTTACTGTTTTCATAGGTATTGTTATGCTTAAATTTACTTTTTCTTTTGATCTTCATTGCATTCTTGTTTTTTGCCATGCCATACTATCATTAATCAAAAAGTATGCATTTAAGGTTGTTGATGTTACTCCATTACATCAAGTTTTTGGTATTGTGGGGTGTGATCATATTAATGTTGCACCCATCTTTGGTGTATTGCCATCTCTAGTTTCTATAAGACATGATTACATGGTTTATCCTATTCTTGGTGTTTTGCCATCTCTTGTTGATGTTGAATGTGATCATGACATTAATTGACAAACTATGAATGATGTAATCCAGTTTTTAGAGAATATTCAAAAATCAAGTTTATAAGAAGACAATATGTACATGCTCAAGTGGATTCTAGATTGTGATGATAAACTTGATTATTATAAAGATAGTTTTTCTAGATTGTGATGATAAACTTGATTATTATAAAGATAATTTTTCTAGATTGTGATGATAAACTTGATTATTATAAAGATAATTTTGGAGACAAAATAAAGATTTCATAGAGTAAGTGTTAATCTTTCAATTTGCTATTTAATTCTCCCTCTTTATCTTCTATTCTTTCCCAACCTTCTATAAATAAATTCTTTTTTACAATTTTAAAAGCTAATGATTGAAATAATTTTTTTCATAAATATTTTATATTAAATGTTTTCATATATATATATATTATACTCATTAATTAATAACTTTGTTTTTATAAAATTGCTCCCTGTAGAATACATAGTAAAACTTTTAACTAGTAGCTATTCAACAATAGTTTTAAAAAATAAAATAAACATCCTTAAATGTATTTCAAAATTAATTTAACTCTAAATTTTTTATATTCTTTTTTAAATTAAAATTTATATAAGAAAATGTGACCACTCAATTCAACAAAAACTAAAAGTTACATAGATAACCCTAAACAAAATAATATGTAAATATACGTATAATAATGCTCAAATAATCATATTCTAGAACTCAAAATTACTTTATCAAGAAACACTATCCAAAAGTTTATATTACCTTATTAAGAAACACTATGTAAAAAGTTAAAAGTTTAGAGATTTACAATAGTTTAAATAAATATTAAAATTTATTTTAATTTAAAATTATGAGTGTTTAGGATATAGTAATAGGTATATTAAGAATGGATGGACCAAATTCAATCCCAAATAAATGGTTTATATATTATAATATTATAATTAACATATTATCTAAGCAAAGTATATTTTATATATATATATATATATATATATCCAAACCTTACACCATCCTCCCTTTTAAAATATGAAAAGGTGATAACAATAAGTCAAGTGGACAATTATAAAGTACTATAAGAATCTGAAGCTCTCACAAAACCACCAACATAGTTGTTAATAAATATAACTAAAACAAAACCCAAAGGCATAGCACAAACATTACTTAATTATGGAACCTTTATGAATTAATTACAACTCTATGTGCAACTACTAAATTGTTGAATTAACCCCAAAGCCATAACTTTGAATAAAAACAAGGGACTTTGAGAGTTAATGTAGTTTATAAAGCACTATTGCAATAACTAATATATCCTATTTTTAAGTCTGCCTATTAATGATTTTCTAAAATTATTGTTAACTCAAACTCACTACCATAAGCAAAACTTGCCTTTGCATCTTCCCTTCAATCAACATCTAAAAACTCAAACTCACAACTTTGTTTACCATTACACATAAAAGGTTTGACTCACTTCATTTATCCTTTATATCATCTTTATCCCTTTCTCAAAGGAAAAAAATTGTGAAGCATTAACTTTGTTTTGATTTACATTTATCCTCACTCTACTATTTATATTCAGCTTCACTCTATTATCACATTTATTCAGCCTCATTACATCAAGGCTAAATGTTTTATTTGGACTTACTATGTTTGTCCTTACTTCACAATTTATGTCATTCGTCTTTGTTCCATTATTGTATCTGTTTGTCCTCACTCTATTATCGGGGGCCGAATTTTGTCTCTGAAGAAAAAATAATTTGAAGTGTTAGAGCAAAGAAGAGAAAATGAGAAAAATTGGGGTGTAAAAGAAGAAAAAGTGGATGAAAAAGCATTGAAAGAGGAATTTTAAACAGTTGTCAAAATATAAATAAGGAGAAAGGGCATAAATATGATCAAAACCTAGATATTAGGGTATTTTGGCCACTATAAAATAAACAAAAGATTCACACTATTCAACCTCCTTAACACACAACTCAACACTTAAGAAAAATTAATAAAAAAGTTTACACTCTCAAAGTAATACATAAATTTTGTAGTAGCAATAATAAAATAAAAGCTTTCAATAGCATTCTCGACCAGAGCCATACACTCAACCTAAAACTCTGGCCAAAGTGACTTAACCCTTGCAACAAAGGAATATTTAATGCCAGAAATCAAAGATAGAAAACACTCAACTCAACACTAGATTGAGAATGATAATTATAAAAGTCATAAATGATTGACATACCATGAAAAACAAACATTGCAAATAAAGAAGAAACACTAGAAATATAAAAAGGTGGCTCAAGCTAAAAAAATAAAAAGGTTAAAATTCTAGATTTTGTAAAAAAGTAATATAGATCTAAATTTAAAAGAGAATGAAGAAATAAGAACAAAAAGGAATACTAGAGTAAAACATTGTCAAAAAGTTTTACCCTTCAAGGATAAATTATAATGTTCCTCACCTCCACCAATTAAAAATAAATATATTAGGTTTAAACCCTTATTTATATAAAAGAATGGATGGCCCAAATTTAATCCTAAATAGACTTGTTGAGGTCTAGGATGGTAGTGAATATACCTAGAATATGCTTAGATATTCTAGAATATTCTACCATCAAATGGTTGTTATTCATTTAGATTAATCTTGTATTTATAATTTATAAATATATTTATGATTATACTTTCTTAAACACTTTTTAATTTTTTTTTTTATTCTACCATCTAATGGTTGATATGCAATAAGATTAATCTTGTGTTTATAAATTATAAACATATTTATAATTATAAATTTTTATTTGATCAATTGGATTAATAAGTAAGAATAACACTACTATCAAACAAACCAAACATTAACGCATAACAAATTATTATATACATATATTTATAAACCTTACAAAATGTTTATAAATATCATTCTTATAGATGTTTTAAAATAAAGATATATTTAAGACCTTATTAGCAGAAGAGTGTCACTAACTAGTTTTTAGTAGAGAAGCAGTGAAATTGTCATTAGAAACCTCACTCTAAGCATTATATTGCAAGTCGATACGTTGCCTCGTATCTGGAGGTTGCCAGCAGCAACCGATGGACCAATTCAAGATCCCATCGATCATATCCATACTGGAGCATGCTTCCCACTAGCCAAAACAAAGGCATGAAGTATGAGCCAGTAATTGGTATTTCTCAAACTTACCAGATTATCCGTGCTACCTTCAATGTGGAAGAGCATCGTCCCTAATCCCTTCACCCCATCTGTTTCAGCCTAATGACAGACAATGTGTGATAATATGCGAGAAACTCCAGGCTCTTAAGTCTTACCACACAGGCGCAAATTAAGATCCCAGCTCCGCCTAAAGCTCCTGTTACTTCCGCAAGAATGTCTGATAAACACCTCTTCTTAGCGGAGAAAAAGCAAGGACAGGAAAACAGCTTACTTCTTCGATCCATGCAGCAAATGCTGAACCATTGCACAGAGCTTCCCAGGCATTGCCAGTTCTTTAGCCGGCCAATCAACCAGTCTTCTCGACTTCGGCTGGCGTCCGTTACGTTGTTAATGTAAGTATACGTTCTCTGGCTGTCCGAGGCAGCACTCCCAATAACGCAAGTCCCTCGTCCCAGTTTACCGGCTAGCTCGCCCCTCTTGGCGTGCTTCCCGTTGATCATCCGTCCACCGTACATCATAGCGTCTTGGACTGGCAGCAACTTGGCAGCGTAGGGATTCGAAGTAGCCAGATCGTTCATGCTGAAGTGTCCACTAAAACTGGCCATAGCCCGATCCCGATCCCTGTCCTCGTCAGTCACTGGATGTCCTTCCCCGCTAGTAAGCTCTTCGGAGTTGGAAAGGAACTTTTTAACAGCGTCAGCTGTCAGCTCTATCGCGGATAGAAGTGCCTGTTCCTTCAGAAACTTCGTCAGCTTGTGTCTGGCGCTTCTCGTCCTCGCAAAATGCAGCCACCGCTTGTGCCGTAAGAATTGCTTCTTGTTTGATAGGCCCTGACGTTGCAAGCAACGAAACGTTGAAGAGGCGAGATAAAAGTGAACTTTATTACCTCATATGTCAAAATCTCCACCACCTCGGCATTTGATAAAACGTGTGTTGGCGATACAAGGTTGCCATTGACCTGACAAAACAAATACATGAATTGATAGACAGTAAGATTTAGCTTACCTTTGCTCCAACCATCTTGTTGCCAACATCCGCATGCAATTGGTACGCGTAGTCCACAACTGTTGCGCCTCTTGGAAGATTTTTGATCTGCGCAAAGCCAAACCTTAGCAACGTGGTGATGGTTACTAACTATCCAGCTAACCTCTCCCTTTGGAGTAAATACAAAAACTCGGCTCCCCAGTAGATCAACAGTCACAGTGTCAACAAACTCCCTTGAGGTCATATTACCAACAAATTCTTCTTGCCATTGTCGGATAGAGTTCAGCCAGCTAACCTGAGAAAGAAACAGTTAAGTATACTTCAGGAAAGAGAAGATCTGCGTCCCTACACTTCTATACCCTGCGAGCAAGATCTGCAGCATTCAAACAGTTAGATTGTTGCCTTGAACCATTTATAGCTGGTGTTAAGGCTATGCTTCCACTGAAGTGCACGGCAATGCCATACTGCGCAATTTTGTCCATTTTGTCTGTTCTAATCTGCAAACAAAAGTTTTTAAGAAAATAGACCAACATAGCAACTATTAAGCACCTGAATTTCCAGCGGGAAAAATGTCTTTGAACCAAATGGGATGACTTTAGTGTGTAGACTTTGGTAGCCATTGGGTTTTGGGGTAGCAATGTAGTCTTTCATCTGAGCACGAATTTTAAGTTCAGTGGCATTACAAAGAAAAACTTACGGTTTGCGGTACAGGAGACCATAATGTGTGTACCAGTCCGAGAACATGATAGCAGACCTGCAGCAATCATTTCAAATTACCAAAAACAAACCGATAATAGACACGATACTTGTTTGGCACTGCACAGACGATCGATGGAATCCGGCTTCGGCTGCAGCACAATCCTCACCTGTAACACAGTGGAAATTCAGGTGGCATAACCGGTAAATATTACTACCTGAGCAACGTCTCCAGCTTCTTCTAGATTTTTCTTTTTCTTGTATATGCTGCATGCAAACCCGCTCCTTCACAATTCCAATACGTATTTTGAAACAATACCTATAAAGGTCTTTACATAAAGTAAAAATGTTGACACCATCAATTACATGAGAAAGAAATTGATCGCTTTGCACAGACTTTACCAACGCATTTTTGGCCTGTTCACAACGTGTCAAGAACACAACAAAGACAAAACAAACTTACCTGCAAAATCAGATCGCTTTGACTTTTAAAATGCTTCTCGACTTTTTTTTTCATGTCAATATAATCTGCAGGATACGCATACATAAAAGATAGCTCTTCCAGTTCTGACTGAATGAAAAAAGAGCACGTCATTGTTAGGACCAAGACCAAAAAGTGCATTTCAGTACCTTGATTTTATGTATACCTAGCAATCTAGCCAATGGTGCAAAAACCTGAAGCGTTTCAAGAGCAATATGCCTCTGAAGAAATAAGTGTTAGCACCGTGAGCTCGCTTAAAGTGAACGCCTAACTTGTTTGTGTTCTGGCATGAACGACAACGTGCGCATATTGTGCAGTCTGTCAGCAAGCTTCACAACGATCACGCGCACCTAAAATAAATAAAGGCAGTGATGAGATGACAAAGATTTAAAAAAATCAAGTACAGAACCTCCTCTGTCATTGCAAGAAACATCTGTCGCAAATCGTCCGCCTGAGCATCCTGTACTGCAGCCTGAGAATCAGAAAATTGAATCTTTCCCAGCTTAGAAACCTGCAGATTTGAATCAGTTGTATTTGTATTCTTTTCAAAAGATGTTACCCACGACGTACCTTCGTTTCACCTTCGACGATCCTGCGGACATTAAAACCAAACTCTTCCTCTAGCTTTTCAAAAGTTACAAAGTCCGTGTCCTCCACAGTGTCGTGAAGAAGTCCAGCCGCAATAGTTTCCCAATCCATTTCCTAGGCATGTACGTAAGCGTGAAGCTAAAAACGGCTTCTGAACTACTTACAAGCTCGCCAAGTATACGTCCGACCTCAACCGGATGGATGATGTAAGGCTCACCACTCCGCCGTTTTTGCCCGTCGTGTGCATCGAAAGCCAACTGCTAAAGTACTGAGCCAAAAGAAAAATCCGTGCATATCTTCGTACCTTTAGAGCTTCTTTCACCCTGTTAAGTTCTCCTTGCGAAAGGTAAGAGATGCTAGTCCGCAGTTTCTGGTGGCGTGAGAAATCAAGAACTAGATACAAGAAAACTCAGGAAGAACTTACATCCCATAGTGAACTGAATCCATATTCCTCGGAGGTATCCGATCCATTGTGAACACGACAGCTCCGCAGCCTTTTATAAGCGTAAGACTTCTACGAGAGCACGCTTTTCTCAGAGATAGAAGAGATTGATGGGAAACTTTACGCACCTTTAGAATAGCAGCTGTTCGAAGAAATCCCCTTCTCGACTTAATTTCAGTCTGGAGATGAGAATCAGCGGTGTTGGCTAGATTGCCAGTGAGTTGCCGGGGAGCAATCCATGCAGAGATTGTACAGCAACACCTTCTACAGCTCGGAGCTGCCTCCACCAATGCTGAGGACAAGAAAATGCAGTGAGCGCTAGCTCATCGACAAGAGCGCCATTCCTCGAACCTGGATAGTGAGCCGCGCATGCCATATCCCTGCGATCGATGTGGATTCCAATTCCTCGTCACGGTGGAACCGGCGGCCGGATGCAGCATGCAAGCAGATTTTCCTCCAAAATCTCCATGCCTGCTACACAATTCGCGAAATGCGATGCCCGGACACTGCCCGCGCGCTGCCAATCGCTCGAAAATCCCTAATCGCTCTCTCGCCTTGCGGCATGCACTGCAGCGCCAGGCGAAACAAAATCCAAAACCCTAAGTAGCGCTTCTCTGTTCTAGGTCGAGCACGAAGGACGTGTGTGTGTGGACTGCCCAAGCATGGCCATAGGCACACGTAGATATTTGCAAGGAGCGTGTGGACTGTGGAGTATGGTGTTCGATCCCTGCCCATGGCAAACCATGAATTTAGCATATTCCACCGCAAATAGCGGTAGTATCTCCGCATATTCTATCATATGATTCAAGTGGAGTGAGGTGTTCGATACCTCATATAGATAAGTTTTTTACAATTTGCATATTCCACCGCAAATTCTCGCGGTGGTATATTCGGAGGGCCATTTGGCATATTCCACACATGATTCAACCCCTTCTTCCTCGCGTATTAAAAGCCTAGCTAGGAACAACGAGAAAATTAGATTGATATGGGCGAGCTTCTACTGGCGCGGCCGCTGGTCGTGGTGGGATCGGCGAATGCGGACATCTATGTGGAGCTGGATCGAATGCCAAAGGAGGGCGAGACGCTGGCTGCGAGGAATGGACAAACTTTACCAGGAGGAAAGGGAGCGAATCAAGCCGCTTGCGCTGCTCGCCTCTCCTTCCCAACGTTCTTCGTTGGCCAGGTATGAGAAAGCGATCTAGATCTTCGGGAAACTCTAGCTCCTCACGAGGATAAGATCAGAGTTCCTGGAAAGGAAGTACCAAAAAAAAAAAAGGACTGAACACTGTGTCTCGATCTTACAGGTCGGGAAAGATGGAAATGCGACGATGTTGAGAGATGCACTACAGACCTCTGGGGTTCGCCTCGACTATCTCAACACAGTCTCGGGGCCAACAGGTCATGCCATCGTCATGCTCCAGCCGAATGGACTAAACTCCATCGTCATTGTTGGAGGCGCGAACACTGCGTGGAAGAAGCGGACGGGATCGTCGAGCATTCCCGTCCAGGCCGAGGAAACCATTCGAAAAGCCGGCGCTCTTCTCCTGCAGAGAGAAATCCCAGACGATGTCAACATCGAAGCCGCAAAGGTACTCAAAGTTGAATTTTTACCGAGTTTCTCTTCTTTGTTCTTCGTTGCGAAGCTCGCTCATACTTCGGTTGCCTTTTTCGGATTGCAAGAGAAGCGGACATTCCCGTCATCATGGACGCAGGAGGCTTCGATTCGCCCATTCCGGAAGAACTTCTCAAGTATATCACGGTTTTGAGTCCAAACGAGACGGAGCTTGCTCGTCTCACGAGCATGCCGACGGAGACAACGCAGGAAGTCGTCCGTGCTGCAAACAAATGCCTCGACATGGTAATAAAAGAGAGAGCGAGAGAGAAAAAGGAAAAGATCAAACTAAGAAACAAACCTTTGTGACAGGGAGTGAAACAAGTTCTGGTGAAGCGAGGAGTTCAAGGCTCTATGCTTGCAAAAGCTGACGAGAGTCCCATTCTCCAACCAGCGATTCCAGCCCCGGCTGTTGTCGACACTACAGGCGCTGGAGATACTTTCACTGCTGCCTTCACGGTCGCAATTCTCGAAGGCAAAGAGCCAGCCGAGGCCTTGAGATTTGCAGGTATTGGGAAATCAGTCTTTCGCGTTTTGTTTTTCGACCATCTTGTTCTTGCTGTTGTTTTCTTCTCAGCTGCTGCTGCATCAGTGTGCGTGAGAGCAAAAGGAGCGATTCCAAGTATGCCGAATCGGAAAGCTGTGGATGAAGTCTTAAAACACGAGCAGTACGTGTAAACGAGCCAAAACAATTCCAAAGAGCTCACAAGCAACAACCAGGAACACTTGAAATGAAAAACAACTCACATGTTTCACCGCAGCTTTAGATTCACAGAGAACTCCTGTCGAAAATCTCATTACCAAAAAATGTCTTCTAATTGACACCGGATTAGATCTCGGTATGCTTCGGTTTCACTTTCTGTTCTAAGAACTGCTCGATATGCTCCATTTTCCAATTGTCAATCCTACAAGGCAAGACGAACGAAAACAAGACGATAAGAATGGGTTTTTCTTTTTCTCTCATCGACACAAACCTGACTGTTTCCTTCTCGTTACCATCCTCGTCAAGAAGTATGAGCTTGGGCGACGCATTGAATCGATATTGAGCTTGGACGGCCGGGAATTTCTCCAGCTTGCTCTCGATAAAGGTCTGGACGTGGGGGTAAAACATGAGCTTCCTCATACAAACTTCCAAACGAGCTCCAGAGAAAGTAAGCTACAAAATAAAAAAAGAAAAATTAACAGGATTCATTCCAGAAGAACCCTATACCTTGCTGAGCGACTCCTCGTTCTCTTCAGCGCAGCATTTTCGACAGTCCAATTCCAGCTCTTTGAATCGAATCAAATGAATTCACCAATCATGGAAGAACAGCAACAAATTTTACCTTGATCCTTGACGATTTCGGCGAAGGCATCGCAGTCGGAGCAAAGCGCGAGGCCAGTGAACCCTAATTCCTCACACGTCTTGTCGGCACGGCCACACAATGCGACGGCGCCGAGCACCGCAAGCACCAAAAAATGGAGCTCCATGACCTTTTTCCCGAAGCGACTCTGCTAAACTCCTAGTAATCTTATCCAAATAAACAACAAAAACGATTGCACTGCCCGGGAATCGAACCCGTGCCAGGGAACTATTCTACCGCTAGACCAGCAGTGTTTTAGTAAAATGTTAACTATTTATCAAACTGATATGTTTTTCTAGCCTCATAAGCATCGTTTCGGGCTGAGCGAGCTTCTCTGCTTCCTTTCTGACACGTTCATCTTTTCTTTGTTGATCAACCCTGTCCGCTGGTCCTATCTATCTACTATCTATCTATCTATCCATCTATATGTCAAAATAAGAATATCTCACCCGATTTGGTTTGGTTACTTAATTTGGTTTGAAAAAAAAGAGGGGATCTTATGAAGCAAATGAAAGGAAGATTGCTTATATTTATTATATTTTGTGTGCTCATCTTTGCTCTTTACTTCCCTGTGTTTGATTTGATATTGAAAAAGCAAAAGTTTTTGCAATACCTTCGCCAAAATCATCAACAATTTGATCACACAGCTTTTAATGGTTTACTTCTTGGTAAAGGAAGGGATGATCATTGCAAGTCCCGTCTCGAACAGCACCACTATCGGAGGAAAAGCTCACAATATGTGCCATCACCATACCTTCTCAAAAGGCTTCGAGCATATGAAGAACTCCATGCTCATTGTACTCATGACTATGTTGAAGCTTTCCATCATTTTAGAAGTAATACTAGTGATTCCCGGTGTAAGTTTATAGTGTGGAAAAGTTATAGTGGTCTCGGGAACAAGATTATCTCCATCACTGCTACTTTTGCCTATGCTTTATTGACAAATAGAGTTTTGCTGATTGAGCCAGGGCCAGAGAATTACATGGCACAACTATTTTGCGAGCCTTTTCCTACCAGTTCTTGGTTTCTCTCCACAGATTTTCCAATTTATTTGTTCAATCATGCCAAGCATAGACTTCAGTTTGATAATTGTAAGGGTGATCTCAAAGTTCAAGGGTATGGTTTGATTGAAATTATTGATAGTTTTGATGGTCTTGGAGATAAGTTTTTCTGTGAGCACGAGCAGCAGATGTTAAGTGAGAAAATCCCATGGTTGGCAATCGTTGTTAATCTTTATTTCATTCCAAGCCTGTACAACGTTCCAAGTTTCAAGTTAGAACTAGATATGTTATTTCCAGAGCAAGAGACTGTGTTTCACCACCTTGGAAGGTATTTGTTTCATCCCTCAAATCAAGTTTGGAGTAGAACGGTGAGAATTTATGAGGATTACATGGCTAATGCAAGTAAAGTGGTTGGTATTCAAATGAGATTGCTAGAGCACCTTGGATCTGGTCATGAACATTTTCTAAACAAGATGATCGACTGTGCTCAAGACAATGGCCTCCTTCCAAAATCCATCAAGTCCAACAATTCAACTCAAGCTTCTAGAATTCCCACACAATTCATTACTGCTATAGTGACTTCACTTGATGGGATGTACTTTAAGAGGTTGAGAGAACTCTACTTGAATTCTGCAAAAGATGGATCATTAGTTCGAGTTTTCACTCCAGAGCCAAGAGAATGAGCAAAAGGTTGATAATCAAGAGCATGAAGAGAAAGCACTTGCAGAGATGTTTTTGCTTTCTTTCTGTGATGAGCTAATAACAAGTCCTGGATCAACTTTTGGATATGTTGGCCACGGCCTTGCAGGAATAAAGCCTTGGATCCTTGATAACAAGAAGAACTGCTCTAAGATGGTGTCACTTGAGCCTTGCTTCCATGCGAAAGTTACATATGGATGTAAGTGTATGCCTCCAAAGGATGCTCTTAGTGTTCAACATAATATTCAAAGCTGCCAAGATGTTACTTGGGGAATTCAGTTAAAATCAATAATATTGTAATTTTTCCCACTTCAAAATAATATAACACATTTTTTTTATTCTATGGCCAAAATTAATATCATTTTTTAATCCATAAACCTTAGAGGCTTTACAAGGGACAAGATATTACATTATAATATTTATTGTGGCTTTAAGAAGAGATGTTAGGAATAACAAAAAAGTTGCTATACTTACTAGTTTACTATTAAATTGTTGATGTCCCTTTTTCCTAATTATGTTTGGTGCACCACAAACCATGCACTATATGATAATAGTTAAAAAAAATTTCTTAGCATTGCATTTTTTCCTACTTAACCTCTTAGAACACCTAAGGAAAATGAATTGCAACAATGCAATAGTATTATGAGTTCAAGAAAAAAATCTCTAAAGAAAGACTCATAGATGGATCACAAAGTTGAGGCATGAATAAAGCCCACAATAGAATATATTAATAAAACTTATTAGGGGTGAACACCTTTTAGATTTAGTAAAGCAAAACATTTGCTATGGAATCAAAAAGATGTATCATGGATTAAAATAATGATTTTATGTTATATGGTGTAACAAAGGATAAGAATAAAAGATAGATTAATAGCTTGGCTTTGTTATGACAGAATATACAAATAGCACACACAATTGTTTTGATCAAAGGGAGAAGGGAGATGTGAACTCTTTCATATCAAAATGTTAAGTAATAATGTATTTAGTAACAACTAATTTATATAAAATCTAGGAAAACACTACTAATGTTTTTTTTTTTTTTTTGGTGTGATTTGGTTATGTTGTGCAATAAAATCACTATTGCATCTCTTAGCCCTTGAATCATAGGAAGAAAGATTACAAGAGTTAAAATTACAAACACTAGAACATATAAATATTTATGTGTATTTTCCTTTTTTTGAATGAAAGTGTGACTGAAGATTCATAAATTCTAAATAGTAAACTATGACAAACCCCTTAAGAATGTATTCTAGAAAAGAACAAAATTTCTCTTTTATATGTAACAAGCTTATATTAATGATTTTTTTCCTTTCAAACAGTTATATGGTTTTATATAGAATTTTATTTCAAATTTATTAATTTTAAAATTCTGAAACACTTGACATTTACTAGCTAGAAAGCATAGAGTACAAATTTAAAGAAGTGACAAGGATACTTTTTCTGCAAATATTTTAGTTTATGTTCTAATAAACATCCCTATTATAGCATGTAGTAAATATTTAAATTGTTAAAACAAGAAGTGTCCTTTAAAACATTTTTATTTATCTAATATATAAAGAGTTGTGAAATTATTAAGTTTGCCATAACCTTAATATTTTAATGTTTATAATGTTCATATTAAAGTATAATTGAAACTTGAGTTCAACTCATGAGTTTAACTCTTGAACTCGTGAGCTCAAATATAATCCACACTCCAGGTTTTGGAACCGAGATAAACAAACTCTTGCCATAGCATATCTTTAATATGTTACAAATAAACTCTTGTACCTCTCTTAATCCCATGACGTTCCAAGTTTTAGAGAGCTAGACATTTGTCCATGGAAGTGACTGTCTAGAGATTAAATAGTTTCTACACAAAATAAAACTTGCACTGCCCAACTTGTGGCAGGGAAACCACTAGACCAGCAGTGCCCTTAAATTTATTAATACAAAAAAACGTATTATAATTGCCTGCGCGTATGTTCTGTGTACATAGCTAATATTATACTAATGGAAAATTATGAATCGTGTTAGCTTCAAAACTGTCCTGCTAGCAGAAAAGAATTACAGTAGAGCTAACGCTCCATATTTGTACCTGACGTCCAAGGAGAAAAAATTTGTTTGCTAGCTCTCGTACCTCTTTCTGTAATGTTATACATCATGGTTCCCACTTTGATTACGCTGAAAACGACTAGAGGGAATGAGAGGGGCCTCCTCGTCTCCAACAGGCATGCTTGCATTGGCTGGAATATCTTTCTCGAGCACGTCGGAGTCTTTCTTATCGAGCCGCCATTCCTGAGAAACATACACGCGTCTTTAGTAAAAGACTTGAGCAACCGGGTCGCGGTTCCAAACCTTTGGCTTGTCTACATCCACAAGAGAAATCTGGTGGACAATGGTTGCGTCCCGCATTTTCAAATAGTTGTAAAGCACAACTCCGGAGAGTGCTGAAAACACCGAGTTCCAAAATATTAGCACTGATGCATGATTTGAGACAGCGTTACCAATAGCGTATCCGATGATATTTAATCCCGTGAGCTTGGATTCTGGGAAAAGGATGGTTCCAAGCGCTATCAGCAGCCAGTCTTTCAGGACTCCCGCCACTCTGACAGTGAGAGCCCCTGTCCTCCCAATCACGAGGAAGATTGAGAAGTTCAGCGCCAGAGCACACAGTGCATTCGTAAAAAACACCCAGAAGCTAAATTTCCAGTGTTCAACTTCCATAGCCGGCTTCTCCAAAACAATCCAGGGGAAAAACAAGAACAAAAAACTAAAACAAAAACAGAATTTTACAATCTAAAGGGGAAACCAGAAGTCACATACCTGCATGGGGCGATGTAATATAAACTGGTGATGGGGTTCAATGTCAGGCCCTTCTTTTGCAGAAGTACTTGCGTGAGTACTAGTCGCAGAGCTTCACAGACAATCCCTGTCACTTGGAAGAATGTACCGATGACGTTGAAGTGGATTTCACCGTAAGAAGAAACTGCCACTCCAACGCTGACGAGCAGCATGTTTAGAAACAGATCCCATCTAGCTTTATCCGTTCCGCACGAAACAGCCATCATGAATGTTGCTACAGGCACTAGCAACAAAGAAAGTGTGAGAGCATTATGCAAACGGAAGCTGGAAACTTACTCAAAGCTTTGAGCATCTGGATGAAAGCCACGGAAATGTAGAGATAAGCAGTGTTTCCAAACCTGAAACCATGCAAAAGCTTAGGGAAATGTATAGAAACGTTTATACTATACCAAAGGCTGGAAGCAAAAAACGCGCTTATCGGCACAACGCAAGATATATATCTGCCAAAACAAAAAACCATCCTCAGGAAACGATTGAAACCGCTTGATAATACTCACATATCGAACGTCATTTTGACTGGAGTGACCACCTGAAGAAAAACGCTAGAACATGTATTCCACGGAAAAAAATAGCTCACCTTCAAAACACGCACAAGGAAAAACGTGACAACTCCAGAGAATCCCATGTGTATCATCGTAAGTGAGATGGGATAAGGAAATCCATAGTGTTTTTTCGACAAGACCCACTGGAAAAAAAAACATCAGAGCTTTACTAAAAGGAACACCGACACAATACCTTGTTGAAGAGAATCACGCCAGAAGAAAGCGTGATGTAAATTAGAAGGTACAAATACGTCAACAGCAGCGATCGATTGATCATCTTTGCGGGCGTCTCAGGCACTGCTGGAAAGAAAACACACCAAAATTCCATTGCCTGGCACTCGCATTTGCTAATCAGTGTACCTCAGATCTCTAGGTTTCCAAAGATCAGCGATGGCAAGAACCTGGCCGCGGCAAATCCACGCATCCGCGCCCCCGATCTCCTGACTAGGGAATGCGCGATCCCGCCTCACAGCTGTATCCATGGCGCTATGGCGCGAGCTAAACATTCCTGCGAATGCCGCCCACATTTCCTCATTGCGCTGACAAAGCCGGCATCCCCTATCTCACGCTTTGTGAGTTGTCTCCACCGTTAGATCCAACGGTTGGATGCGCCAACAGGCTGTCAGGGTTGTGGCCGTTGGATGTGGATGTGACGGGCGGCGGCGATGCGTCTCCCTGGTCTTTTTCTTTCACAGTGTAGTGCCCGGGAGCGCCAATGGAGGCGCCATTGACAGGCCGCGTAAGAGAAATTCTAGGTCATTTAGATCCTCTGAAAATGTGGCTTTGATCAGGTGTCGCTGCGCGGCGCCAGCGCCAAGGAGGATTCCAGGGATGTGTTGCTGGAGAAAATCGCCAGGGATCGAGCTTCTCGAGTCCTCCAGAGGAGAACGCTGGCAGCAACACTGACGGTTCAGGTGAGCCAGGCCGATCGTTTTGCCCGGAAATCGCATAATCTCTGGTGTTTTAGAGGATCTGGAGGAGCCGCCGGGCGGCGAGAATTGCCGTGAATGCCATCCAGCTGCTGTGGGACGAGCGGGTTGAGGAAATTCATCGATCGGGCATTGTCAGTGCCGAAGCGTTTGCAGATGATATTCTCAGGCCATTTATCTTCTTTACGAGGAACTTAAGCTGGCTTACACGAAGTTTCTTCGTCAAGGATCTCCAGCGCGTCTCAATTTGTTTCCAAGCTCTTCTTCAAAGCGTAAACTTTCCAGGTGTGAGTAGCAGCATCGATTTTTCTCTATTTAACTTTCTTCTTTAGATGCCAGGAATTTTTGCAAACTTGCTTGCGGCACACCGAGTCGAAAAACTCAGTGGTTCTATCAAGTTCATCGACTCTTAACAATCTGCTCGGCTATTCTCATAGGAAGGCGACGTAGCGATGCGGTTTCCACTTCCTTACTGGCACTGGCCATGCGACTATTGGTAACACTGACCGATTCGAAGTTGTGGAACGGGTTTGAGGACAGACAGCGAGAAACAGGTGCCGTAACTTCAGAGATAGTGCAGTGGTTTGGAGCAGGAAACAGCGGGTTTTACTACGCAGCTCATGCGTATCTAATGGAAGGCAATACGGCAGATCTTGAAACCAAGGAAAGCTTCTTAGTGACTGCCAGTTTGATCACCATGGCATTTCGTCCGTTCCACGCTATTGCTGCCGAGCTTTCGTGTCAAAGGTACGCTCGAGATTTGGAAGACTGGAAAGGCAAAGCAGCAGCACAAATATGTAGACACGTTTTAACAGTTCCATGCCTCATAGAACGTCTTCCTGCAGGTCTCGTTCCTGCCTTTCAACATGAAAATGTTTTGGCTGTTTGCCTTCGCGCGTACAAGGTTGGTTGCTCAAGAGATTCTATGCTAGATGAAAACTAAGTTTTTTCTACTTAAGCAGACTTTTGGCATTACCGTTTTGTCAGAAAAGGACAGCAATGTTCCACATCAAGCATGGAGTCTCACCAACGTCGTAAGCATTGTTTCAGTTGGATCTCTGAGCGAACCAATGTACAGTCATTTCGTGGAAGCAGTTTGTTGCCTCCTGCACAGTATGATACCTTGGATTGAGGAAGTTCGAGAGAGGAAAAGAAGTTATGAAGACTCCGGCGATGAGGATACTGAAGATTATACCGAGCTGCATTCTCGGTGTGGTGGCGCTGCTTTGGACTCCTTCATTCGTCTCCTAAGACCACTGTTTGATCAACGACAAGTGTTACAGCTTTTCGAGAAGGCTACATCATCATCCGTTGGGCTCCCAAACATTGCAAGGCTCTACTCTTACTTGCTCACAACATTCTCAGTTTTGAACTTTGGAGGAGGTGCGCTACCCGTGCTAAACGTGCTAGCATTTACCAAGGAACTTCTTCCGCAGCTTTGGAACTGGTTCATGAGCAGCATACAACTAAAAATTGTGAAGATGCCAGAGAGCAGGGGAGCCTTACCAGCAAAAGAACAGAGTTCACGTCAACTTTCAAGCAAGCTGGCTAATACTTTCCTGAAGAGAACAAAGTCTGCCTCCAGCGAGTCCATTTCTGAAGTGCATGACGATGGTCAGTGGCATATTGAACAGTTGAAGGGTGGCCCGGCTGCTCTTTCAGAGGATGCAGCTTCAGTTCTAACGCTTTTCTGCACGCTGTATGCGCATTTGCTACTCGTTCTTGACGACAACGAGTTTTACGACAAGCAGGTACAGCTCGTCCTTTTGATGCATGGCGGGTTGTCTTAGCGATTGTTGCAGGTTCCCTTTTCCATCGACGAGCAAAGGCTGATAAGTGCTGCTCTAAACACTATGCTCTATCATGGCTTCTTTTTGGCTGGAAGGACTCAATATGCGACGCTGATGGAAGCTTCGACTAGGTGTTTACGAGCATTGTATGAAAGGGATAGCCGGCGCAGCTTCTGCCCAGCTGCATTATGGCTTGCGCCTGCCACGGAAATGCGACCTGCTATTGCTGCAGCTGCAAGAGCACACGAAGCCGCGTCGGTCTCGAAAGCGGGAGAAGCGTCAGCAATTGGCTCCATATTGACGACCATGCCTCACGTGTTACCATTTGAGGAGAGGTATCTCATTCTCTGTTGCATGCTCGTACTGACTACGTTGGCAGAGTGCAAATCTTTCGGGAGTTTATCAACAGCGATAAAACTTTGAGGAAAATAGAAGGGGAAATAGTAGGACCGGGTCCCGGTTCGACAGAGATTTCGATTCGAAGAGATCGTATTGTCGAAGATGGCTTTCAACAGCTTGGTGCCTTGGGCGCAAGATTTAAAGGCTGCATCAACGTTTCCTTTGTGAACGAGCATGGTCTTACGGAAGCAGGGCTCGACTATGGCGGGCTTTTTAAAGAGTTCCTTACGGACTTGGCGAAAGCTGCATTTGATCCTGGGTAAGCAATCAGACTTATAATTTATATAATCGGTTTAACGTACCTCCTGTAGTTACGGCTTGTTTCAACAAACTGCCACGGAAGAACGGTTTTTGTTTCCTCATCCAGCTGCGAGCAGCCTTGGTCAGGGATTACGAACGATTGAGTTTTTGGGTCGCATCGTTGGGAAGGCCTTGTACGAGGGTATTCTGCTGGAACATTTATTTTCTCCAGTATTCGTATCCAAGATCCTGGGTCGTTACTGTCCTATTGACGATCTCTCTAGTCTCGATGGAGAACTTCATCGGAATCTGATGTACCTCAAGGTTGGTTTTGGTCGTTTTCAAAAACTTGGCTGTCTAATGTTTTGTTGACAGAATTATGAAGGTGACGTTTCAGATATGGCTCTGGACTTCACTGTAACGGAAGAATATTTTGGAAAGCGAAAGGTTATTGATCTGGTGCAGGGAGGAGACAAAATCCCTGTGACTGACGCTAACAAGCTGCAGTATGTCCATGCTATGGCCGATTACAAGCTAAATCGTCAGGTATAGTCGCCTCTTGCTAGCTTCTTCTCAGCACCGTTTGTCTTTGTTCTTAGGTGCGACCAGTAGTTAATGCGTTTGTGAGAGGCCTTACGGATTTAGTCTCTCCTTCGTGGCTGGGTTTGTTTAATGCCAAGGAATTTAACCAGGTATGCTATCTTTTGTCTATAGCACCGTCCTGAAGATCTCGTTGCAGCTTCTTTCAGGTGAAGAGCACGACTTCGACGTGAACGACTTGAAGGCCAACACCCGGTACACTGGAGGTTACAGTGTAACCAGCCGCACGGTCAAGCTGTTTTGGGAGGTAAGGAAACTACCTTCTATTATTTGGTGCTGTTCTGAGCGTGGAATCTGTTCCAGGTGCTTGAGCAACTCGATGTCAAAGAAAGATGCGCTGTGCTCAAATTTGTAACGAGCTGCTCTCGTGCACCTTTGCTGGGATTTAAACACTTGCAGCCTCCGTTTACAATCCACAAGGTTTGGCAATCTTAAGCATCAACGTTTTTAGCTCGTTCCCGTTTTTCTTTCTTAGGTGACAAGTGATGCTCCAGTGTGGACGTTTCTAGCTGGCCAAGATGTCGATCGACTCCCAAGCGCGTCTACCTGCTATAACATATTGAAGGTTTGCTGCGCTCCCTACTTTTCTCACCGCATTTTCACTTACTCTCGGTTTCGTTGCGACGAAGCTACCTGCATACAGGCGCATTGGAACTCTCAGAGAAAAGCTTCAGTACGCAATCCGCTCCAATTCTGGTTTTGAGCTTTCCTAACTCCAATTTAATATTAATCCAAGCCAAAAAATTAATGAAATGCCACGTCATCTCAAAAGGTTACGGAACAGTATAAAAATCCCTCTTTAGAACCCTTGCTCGCCCCTTTTGCGTAAGAATAGACGCGCTCATTTCTTCGGAGCTATGGCGTGTGCGGCGACTGTTGTTATGCCGGAGTGGGTGACCGCACACTACGACGTTCTTCGTGAGCTTGGGCGAGGCGCGTACGGTGGAGTGTTCGAGCTGCGGGAGAAGTCGAGGTGGATCAAGAAGAAAAAGGTGGCGTGTAAGATACTGGACGTTGAGAGGGAGAAATCTCAAAGCCATGAAGCGGCGATAATGAAGAAGCTTCATAACCTTCACGGAGTGGTGTGCCTTAAAAAGGCGCACTGCGATTCAACGTGTTCCTGCATGGTTATGGAATTGTGCGAGTGCGACCTAGTCACGGCCATGGCCACCGGCGTGATCGAGTACGATAAGATCCAAATAGCCCAACACTTTCGGCATCTCGTCAAGACAATCAAAGCAATGCATCACGCCGGAATTGTTCACCGGGATCTCAAGCCCGAGAACGTTTTGGTAACGAAGAAACGGGAGCTCAAGGTCGGCGATTTTGGCACGGCTGTGGAGATTGAAAAGGGAGGCAAGCTCCACGAGGTGACGGGCACCTGGAACTACATGGCCCCAGAGATGATATTCCAGGGAAGCTACGATGAGAGGGTGGACGTGTACGCGTTGGGACTCATCCTTTACTTCATGCTAGAGCTAAAGACTCCCGAAGATCGGAAGATAGATTTCCAACAGTGCCCAGCCGCGGCGATGGATCTTATCAACAAGATGATCGACAATGATCCGGCAAAGAGAATAACACTGGACGAAGCCTTGAGGCACCCTTTCTTGCAACACCACCACAAGGGATACTAAACAGTTGTATGAAACGAAAAACTATACTATGTGTATGTATAAAAGGCTTACCTCAAGAGATTTCGATTGCCATATTCTTCATCCATTCTAGTAAAAAGTTAGAATGGTTTTCTTGAATGAATGGGAAACTCACCACTAGTGGTGGACCATTTCTTTGTACAAAGTGCTTCTCTGTACCGGAACTCGTCCCATGGAATGGATGAGCTCCTTAATCGCCGAGGCTGTAAGTTCTTCACCTAGTTTCGCAGAATTATATCAAAGATATGAATGCAGAGCTTTCTATTTACCATGTAAAGCCCCTGCCGCTTTTGAGATGCTCTCGTTCATCAAGCAGCCGCCCATGTCGTTACAGCCAACAGCCAAAAGGAACTGAGCTCCATCGGCTCCCATTTTCACCCAGGAAGCCTGCAACGTTGAAGGAAAAAATACGTTAAACTCTAGCAATACATCGATAGTACCTGTATATTTGTGATGTGGGGATGCAGCACCAGACGAGAGACTGCATGCATGAGGACGCATTCCCTTCTTGTTGGCCCCTTTCTCGCCCGGCCTTTGACAAAAATTGGAGCCTAGAGAAGCAGTATGGTCAGAAAAGAAAGAGCTTTCAAACAACGTCTCAAACCTGCATGTGTACAAACGGTAGTGGCACAAACTCTGTGAAGCCGCCGGTTTTCTTCTGTAGGCTTTTAATGAGTTGCAGATGCGTTGCCCTGAAAGTGAACGTACTTTGAACCAGCACAAGAATGAGCCGAGAATTGAAGTCCTACCAGTGAGACGGACAGTCCATATGTCCGAACATAATGGTTGATGTAGTCTTCAATCCAATACTATGAGCAGCTTCCATCACCTAGTAAAAATCTTGGCAAGTTTCGATATGGAACTCGAACACGCATTACCTCGAGCCACTGGTTTGTTTTGAGTTTGTCAGGACACAAAACGTTTCGCACCTCGTCGTCTAAGATCTGCTACCATCACTGATCAAGTCATACAAGCACACCGAAATTTGTTACCTCGGCTGCAGTTCCAGGAAGAGAACCAAGTCCAGCGGCCTTCAACTGCACAAGGAACTCTTCAACACTGGAAGCCAGAGAATTAAAATAAACCGAGCCACGGACGTTCACATCTCGACAATTGAGTACCTCATGTTGCTGGTTGAAGCACCTTGGTAAACTTCCAAAGGCGAGAATGCATGCACGTGGATACCAGGCACCGCTGATTTCACAGCTTTCAGAATTTCCAAGTATGTTTCGCCAGTGTAATCGGGGTGAATTCCTCCCTGAAACAGCTCGTCGCATCTCATACCCTGAAGATCTTGTTACCTGCATGCATACTTCCGTCGCTCCTCTTTCACGGGCTTCAATAGTCCTACGAGATATTTCTTCCAGTGACAAGCTACGAAAGGACATAATTAGAACTGAGAGCATCAAAGCAATCAAGTATCAACCTGTATGGCTTTCCTCTTAGATTCTCGTTCTGCTTTCCTTTGCTGATACATACAAGTTTAAAAGGTCTTATTTCACAGTGCGACAAGATACCTGAAAGCGCAGAATTGGCATTTGTAGCTACAAACGTTGGTATAGTTGATGTTTCTGTTTACAACATATGTTACCTGAAAATACAATCAAAATGTGCGCGCGTCAAAACTTCGTTACCTTATTCCCATTTACTGATTCACGTAGCCTATTCGCTGAAGAACATATATAGTCAAAATCTGGTCCCATGGAATAGAATAGCATAGTTATTTCATCCTGACACAAGAAATGGATAAGTCAGTGAGTCGACAAAGCAACAATGTACTCTGGTCAAATCCTCTCCTGCCACGCCCTTATCCACTATATATTCCACACGGCTGCTTGCTCTCGCGGCTATTAAAAAAAAACACAAACAGAAGTTTAACAGACGCAAGGAAAACTGAAGCCTACGTACAGGCATTGCACGAAACATTTCCCTGTATGCCGACATAAACAGATGAGGTTGTAGCGTTGTTCATTTGACTCCAGTCAGTGGTAGCATTGCAACCTGGTGACCAAGGATCCGCTCGACCGTAGCCCAGACTGTTAGAGCTTGCGAGTGCATATCGCAAGACGTTGGGATCCTGGCAAAACGTAAGTCAAGAGGAAGTGGACAAGCTTTTCCAAAAACAACGCTATACCAGCCACGACGAAAAGTTGCGAATATATGACGGGTATACAGGCAGCCTTGGAACGAGTAGTTTGTCGCACTGCATTGTCGCACTGGCTAAGCTTCTGATGTGCGGCCACGGTAGCTGCAAAACAGGCAATCAGAGTATGACATTAGAAGAAATGATAAAAGAAAAGAGAATCAAAGAAAGGAAGCACCTCGGGATTCACCCAATCTCTTGTTAAGGGAGAAATTCCGCCCCAGTCGTTTATTCCTGCATTGATAAGAAGCTCCCACTCAACTCCTTCTTTTGTGTCATCTCTGCAACATCGTTAAAGTCCAGTGCAAACTGAGGTCATGGTTCACTTGCCTTGGTGTCAAGTTTGGTGGCGCTTGAATGCTCATGTCTGGACCGAATAAAATCCGTGCCATGGCTACAGTCCACAGGAGCTCGTCAATATTTGGCTCTGCTGCATTTTCCATTGGAGTGCCTTTCTTTGCTCGAAAGTTCTGAATGATGAGCTCCTGGATATGGCCATATTTTTCATGAACCCCACGTAGGAGCAGCAAGCTCTTGATTCGATCGGACCTGGTTTCACCAATACCAACCAGCAGGCCGGACGTGAAAGGCACCTTCAGCTCACCTGAACAAAAGTTTAGAGTATAGAAAGGAAAGAGTTAACAAATGAAAAGTTACATGCCTGCGATCGCAATAGTTGCAATCCGGGCGGAGGGAACTTTGTCTGGACAATTAAAGTGCGGGCCGCCGGGTTCAGCGAGGCTCGAAGCAGTCGACTCAAGCATCAAGCCCTGACTAACGGAGACGCTTCTCAGAAGTGACACGTCTTTTTTGCACATCACCCCCGCATTGACATGAGCAAGAAGTCCAGTTTTCTCGAGCACTAACTTAGCAGCCTCAGCAACATACTCAATAGTCGTGGAGTGGCCCAGTGACGCAAGCTGCAAAAGCACAAAGGAAGAAAGAAAGTAAAGGTCATTGCAGAAACATGAAAGTCCTCCTTTTTAAAAACTTCGAAGAACTTACCTCTTCTTTGGCCTGTGGATAAAGAAGTTCTGGCTTGTCCCCGAGTGTAAAGAGTGCCTCCGTGCATCCCAGCTCCGCAGCGCGGCTAGCAACGCTCAAAACTTCGTCCAGAGACATATAAACCGGCTTCCCAGGCTTTGGAGCTCGAGCAAAAGCGCAGTAGCCACAGGAATCCCGGCATGCTCTCGTCAAAGGAATAAATGCCTTTGGCGAGAAAGTGATGATACTAGAGTCGGGCCTAGAGTCACGGATTGCGGCAGCGGAGGTCATGAGCAATCGGAGATCGAGGCCACCGACGTCGAGCAAGATTCTCTCATCAATCTGGGGATAGCTCTCACCTTTTGCGCAGCGCTGCACTATCAGTGCCAGAGATTCCTTGGCGGAAGAAGCCTCGCATCTGATTCTACTCCTCCTCGTCGAAATGCTGGTGGCAGCAATGCTGGCAAGATGGAGGTAGCCTGGATTCCGATGGCGCAGCGCCTGGCACACGTCTAACATTGCTTGATCGAGCGAGTGTTAACCCAAGTTACAGTGCTTTTTCTTGGTTCCCATCACATGCATTTTTAATAAAAGGTAGGTGTTTAAAGTGTCACTTCAACAACTGTGAAGTAATAGTTAAGCCCCCATGTGATTGAGCTTGACACAAACCACAAAAATATTTTGAGGATATTTTATAGTATATTTGACGATGACAATGCTCATTAGCCAATCTTTTGTCTTGATTTTGAGTTTGTCTTATGTTCAACTTTGCCAACCCTAGCTTGTTTTGCATATCCTCCAGGAAATCATAAGCATGAAATACTCAAACCAAACCCAAACTCAAACTCACAAGAGACTTAGGTTTATAATAGTACATTGGCATAAATGAAAATATATTAATTGCCAATTGATGAACACTATTGTGAGTAAATTGAAGCAAAGGCAAGTACTTCTCCCATGCTCCCTATCTAGTTAAGTTTTCTACAAAAGACTTTAGCATATTTTCCAATAAGTGATTCATATGCTCTGACTGCCTATATGAATGTGGATGCTCACCACTACTCATGCTCAGGTTAGTCTCTAGCTTCTCAAATACCATTTGCTAAAACCTGGATGTGAATTTGGGATCCCAATCATTCACAATATCATATGGCAAACCATAAAGATTGAATAACTAGTTTACTAAGCAAGTTCAAAAGTTTTAATAGTCATCTTCATTGGGAAGAAGTGAGCCATCTTTGTCAAATGATCCATAATAACCTAAATAACATTATTTCCTTGCAAAATCTTAGGTAAATCAATGATAAAGTTCATTAAAATGTTATTTTATTTATTCTTGGGTACACATAGAGGATGATAGAGGCTAATGAGCTTCTGATGATCAACTTTACTGTTGGCAAGTCAAACAATCACGTATATACTTCTCAACATTTGATTTTATCCAAAGCAAAAAAAAAAAATGCCTCTTCACCAACATATACATTTTTAGTACCCTCAGATGACACTTGGCACATCATAACATTCAACCAAAATCTATTTGATGAATTTGTTAATACAAAGAACCACCACACATCCCTTCTTCGCTAGAATTTCATTTTATGTCTCAAATGATACAAATTTGTCACCCTTCAAATCTATAGAGGTGTGTCTTAACAAAACCTTTGTGTGAAATATCAATAATAAAGGAGTTGAAGTCAACAAACTTCTTAAGTTCATCCAAGAGATTGTTGGATACCTTCATGAATGAAATAGAATTTTACTATCCTGAATAATACATCTGCCACTTTATTGTCACCTCCGTGCTTGTACTGAATCTTAATAGACATTTCTTGCAGGAACTTTTACCAACGAGCAAGGTAACCTCAAAAATCCTTTTGCCAACTGAAATACTAGAGAAATTAATGATTTGAATCCACATGGAAGTGCGATCCATATAAATAATAAAGCCATTCCTTCACAGCATACAACTCCTTATCTCGAGTAAGTTAATTCTGCTGTGTAGCATCAAACTTATGGCTCATATATGCAAAAGGATGCCCAACTTGAAGCAATACAACTCTAATAGCAATATCACTTGCATCTATCTCGACCACAAAAAGTTTCTTAGGAATAAAAATTTTAATACAATATTACTTCAAATGTTGAAATGCCACTTCACACTTCTCATCCCAATTATGAATAGTAGTATATTTGAACTTGTTTTGGAGAAGATGGGTCAAGAGGGCTGTTATCTCTAAAAAGTCCTTCACAAATCATTGAAAAACTTTAGCCATATCAAGGAATCTACAAAGATCGTGCACTATTGAAAGTATAAGCCAATTATCCACGACCTGAATCTTTATGGATCAGCTCTCACTCTATGTATGGAAATCAAATGCTCGAAATATCCAATTTGCTCCAAGAAAAACTCACACTTTAATAACTTCGAGTAGAGTTTGTTGTCCCTCAAAAGTTGCAAAATACTTCACACATACATCTCATGTTCCTCCATTGAAGAGATGAATACTAGAATATCATCAAAATAATCAATTGCAAACTTTCCCAATAAGGCTGTAGAACTTGATTCATCAATCTCTGAAAAGTTACACAAGCATTTGTCAAACCAAATGGCATCACTAAAAACTCATAGTAACCCATTCTTGTCCGAAATGCAATTTTTGGATCCTTTGGCTTGACATAAATTTGATGATACTCTTACCTCAAATCAATCTTCAAAAAATATCAAGCATCATGAAGACGATCGAACAAATCATTGATATAAGGGATTGGGAATATATTCTTCACCGTCCTATCATTCAATTCCTTTTAGTTCACATAAAGACACCATATACCATCTTTCTTTTTGACCATCACCACTGGAGCAACCCAAGAAGACATACTGATCTGTAACTACCCTTTCCAAAGGTATTCAGCAAGCTACTTATTAATCTCCTCATCTTTAGCGGGATTAGTATGAGTTGGTTGTTGCTGATAAGGAGTAGTTTTAGGAACCAAGTCAATCTCATGCTGAATTTCACGTTTTTGAGGCAAACCATTAGGCAATTTATTTGGAAATACATCACGGAACTCCTCCTGAATGAAATCCACCCAAGCCCTAGACCCACAAATGTACTCCAAATCAGATATGATCATATTAGAAAAAAATGGGTACACTACAAAAGAATTAGCTATCTCATATGTGGAAGTCACCAACTCCAAAGCATTAATCAATGGAATATTACTATTGTCTATCTTAATAATCTTTTTCACAGTGCCACCAACTTTAATATCTAGGATATTATACTCTCAATTGATTCTTAGCTTCCTATCATAAAACCATTCCTTCCCAAAAATAACATTTTTACGACCAAGATCCATAATTTGGAACGAATGATGGTCAAGAATCCCTTGAACCATCAAAGGAACACTCAGAGCCCATTTACCATAAACATAAGTGCTATGACCATCTACCATAACCACCTCATAGATTACTAAACTTTTTTCCATAGGCAAACCAAGTTTCTTCACCACTTTGGAGCTCAAAAAGTTGTGAAAAAAAGTCAAATAGTTGACTATTGACTAACAACTTTTATTGAGCCAAGGGGAACCAACACCTCCATTTCTGCACTGAATCTATCAATCTTTCCATTGTGTAGACCAGCTATCCATGTAGTCATCCACTTGTACCGCAGTCCCACGGTGGATACCTTTGTCTGGGATGCTCCACAAAAGAAAGGACATAAGCATGGATGCCCAATATGTATGATTTTCAAACTCCATTTCCGCACTGAATCTATCAATCCTTCCATTGTGTAGACCAGCTATCCATGTAGTCATCCACCTGTACCGCAGTCCCATGGTGGATACCTTCATCTGGGATGCTCTACAAAAGGAAGGACGTAAGCATGGATGCCCAATATGTATGATTTTCAAATTTAAGGGTAGGAATATACCTTGCTCAAGGGTATATTATATTTTAAGTAGCCATTAATCTATGGAAATCAAACCCATGCCATTTACTCCGATACCAACTATAGCACACCCTATCTCTTTCCCCTTAAGCCAACTGGAAAAAGGGCAATTGCTTAATGAAAGAGCCCTTAGTGGCTATTTTATCCTCATTTATCCCCCAAGGTTCCAAGGATCCATGGTGACAGTATATCCAAATTTCATCCCTTGATCACATGCACTATAGTGGAAGAGCCACCATAGCAAATGCTTAATTTGTATTCATGATAAATTCCACTATATTCACCTTAGCATTTTTTAATCCCTTCACAAGAGGATAATCCTTACCGTGATGTTTAGCCTTATGACAACAAAAACAATTACCCTCCACTTTGTCTTTCTCACGCTGATCCAAACGCACATGGAACAATAGATGTGTAAGCTCCTGAATTTGGACTTCCCGGGAGGTCACCCAGCCCAGTACTATTCAAACCCAAGGACGCTTAACTCCAACTATCCCAAAACCCTTAACCGATTGAAAAAGGGGGTGCATTCTTATTCATGGGCCCTTTCCCTCTATATTTGAACCCCTATGGATCGTCTCTCGAGTCGTTCCCTTTGGTTGCTTACAAGATGTTTCTTCCCTGAAGATGAAGTTTTGGTAAGTTGGTCATCAATTTCTTAGTTGGCTTCAGTCTTATTGATAATAATGTTTTGCCACTCACTTGACAGAAAGATCACTTGCACAAATACCCTGTAGACCATCCTATTGACCAGAGTTGATTGATAGTTTCGGTGAAAAGATCTAAGCCTTGGTGATAGCATTAATCAATGTGGCTGGAAAATCCTTCTTGACCTTGTATTGTACATCCATAGAACTCAAACTTTTGATGAAACATTGCACCTTAGCAACTCATTATAAATGTCTATAAGACTAAGGCAAAGATCATGAAACTTGCAGGCATACACATCCAAAGACAAAGTCCCCTATTGAATCTCTAACAGCTAGTTTATGAGATCAGCCTCTTCAAACTTCTTGACAAACGAAGCATAGAAAACCTTCATCAAATCAGTCCAAGAAGTTAGCTTTGGATTAACTTTGATGTAATTTTTCCATCATGAAGAAGTATGGCCAGTAAGTTTCTTTATAAAAAAATCAATCTTCACCTTATCCTCACAAGGATTGTAAGACGAACAACTTTCCCACAATTCTAACCAAGAATCAACCTCCTGACTATCATAAATATTCAGTGATGACTTTCATTCCACGATACTATAATCTTTGGCATGCTTAACATACCAATGGTAATCATGGATATGAGATTGATTAACCTCTTTAATGTCATTTTGAACCTCAGAAATCTTGTGGCAAGGCAACATTATCAAGAGTTTTTTATGGCCATTATCATTAATGCCATACTCATCAGGATCAATATCTTGCTCACCTGCCATCCCCACAAGAACATGTGTCACCAGGTTGTAATGCTTTAAGGGTTGGGAGGTTGGCCTAGGGTTTTCTCTTTTGTTTGTTTCATTGGTAGTAGAGCAGAGGTTTTCCTTAAGTTGTCAGATGCATAATAGTTTCTAAAAAGAGGTGGTAGTGCTAAGTTGTCTTTATGGTATTGTGAGCCTTGGACAATTTTATAGCATATAAGGGATCTTTGGAATTGCTAGCTAGTTCAAAGATTCATCTAATGTTCCATGTGAGCAAGCTTAAATGTTTGCACTTTAGCGATGTTGTGGATCAATCCATTTGGCGATGTTGTGGATGATGGTCATGAGGGAGGGGAAAATGACATGAACCATAAAAGTATTCCAAGAATATCCATGGTATGTGGGATTTAAGGCTATAATGCCTTAAGGGTTGGGAGGTTGGTCTAGCATTTGCTCTCTTGTTCGTTTTAGAGCTCACCCATGTTCAAGCACAAGGGAATTGCCTGTCCGAATCCAGACTCAACAATTACAACATAATAAAGGGTGTGTGCTTGGGAGGGGTTGTGTGGCTACTTGCAACATCACACTCCTTGCTTGCCACCACAATGCACATTGGGATGGATCCTGGTGAAGGCCAAGAGACTTGGTCAGACCTAAGGTTGAGATCTTTGCATGTGATGGTGGTGGGCTAATTGGCAATTAATCCTCTTGATGTGGTGGTGTGTACCTTTGGTAGAGGACTGCACACCCATTGTTATGGTGCAACACATATGCTTGTGCTGAGTCTTGGCCAATGCCTTGGTAGAATCAGGAGATTCAAATGACCAACATGTATAGTGTGCCACAGCTCAAGCTAACCTCTCACTTTTGTAGTGTTTTGGGGCAGTAGGGGTGTTCACACCCCCTTCTAAGCACACACCCCTTGTTGTGCTGTAATTGTTGAGTCTGGATCTAGGTGGGCAAAATTCCCTCATGCTTGAACGTTGGGTGAGTTCAGTCGCATGGGGGCTTAATTAATGCTTCACAACCTCTACCCTTTGTTAAAAAGGCATGTGATGGGGGTAACAAGAAGTCATATGCTCTATGAATGACCGTTTGGAATCTCAGGCAAGATATGTATTTCTGCTTGGCAAAAGGATCAATCACTCCATAGTATGGTAAAGTTTTCTCCTCTTGTGTTGTCCCTGATGGGTGATGGCTCCATTTACTTATGATGCTGAATGAATTGATGACCACCAAGTTCAGATCCAAGTGGGCAATTCCCTTGTAAAGGTTAAAACCCTAAAATGAGGGAACTGGAACCCCAAGTTTATTTAATTGTAATTGGAGGTGCCAAATAACCTCTTCTGTCAAGGAACGTAATCACTGTGGTGGCCATTTCGTCTGGAGTGCCATTCTCAACTCCCATTGTAATCTAGGCAGAGATATAACATTAAAAATGCTGCTGAAAACCTCAAGAGTTAATCTACCTCGCAGTCGAGAGGCTCCTCATATGGATCATCTATACCAGTAAAACCTGTGAATCCAACTGTGATGCCAGCAATCTTAAAGTAAAAGAAAACTGACCTTTGATTTTCCCGGCACGAGCAAGCTTGTAAAGTCCCTTGGGATCTCTTTTTTCGCAAATGCTCAATGGAACTTTGAGGTAAACCTCCTCAAATGAAGAAACTACTTTAGGAAATAGTTCGTAGAACAAAACTGTATACCTCAATGAAATCTCCAGGAGGAAGTAGCTCGCGACATAAATTTCTGTCGTTTCTATACGGTGAAATGAAGCTCGCAATGCATATTAGCCCTGCATCCGCAAATAGCTTGGCCACTTCACCTAGAAAAAAAATTTAAATTAAAGGGATTATCCACATAAGCTAAGAACACAATTTAGAACTAAAGAGCTTAAAAACTAAGAGGAACAAGATCAAGATCAGAGAATTATAAGTCTCACCAACACGTCTAATGTTTTCAGCACGATCTTTAGTGCTAAAGTCCAAGTTTTTGTTGAGCCCATGGCGAAGATTATCACCATCGAGGACATAGCTGAGCTTGTTCCGGCTCAACAGTGCGTGATCAAGCTTGCAAGCCAAAGTACTCTTTCCTGAGAAAAAGATTTCAAGCAATCATATAAAAAAACAACAGAAAAACCAATAGAACTTTGATTTTACCTGAGCCACTGAGACCTGTGAGCCAAATTACACATCCCTTTTGCCCTAGTGCTATTTCCCGCTCTTGTTTCTTCACCACGCTCTTGTGCCAAAAGATTTTCGGGGAGGACAACAACTTTAGCGAGTCCATTACCAGTGAAAAATAGAAATATAATATAAAAAATAAGTCTTTCATACGTATATATAGCTTTCCACATTTAAAGACCAACTTCTTTAAGAAGATTAGGGTTCAACTTTTTGGGGCATTGAATTGGATGGACATTGCCAAAAAGAAAAGTATGCACAGGATCAAATCTCGCCCACGTAGCTCTCATGGCTTTTGGATGAAGAGAGTGAGGACCACTCCAACCAAATTCATCGCCCTGCGTGAAGGGATCTCTCGCATATACACGACAAATGCTCTACTTTTTCCCAGCAAACCCAGCACATCTTGCGATTAAACAAGGTCTGTGCGTTAGCGTGTATAGTGTCGTGGGTGAGGACAAAGACGCTCTTTTGAGGGTGGAAGCTCGCTCTCCAGTAGCTTTGCAGCTTTTTCGTTTAAATGCTGGCCACTGGGGCCTCTGGTGTGTTAATTCTCGAAAAGGAGGAAAGAGGCAGCTATCAATCACGGCCCATGCCTGGAGAGCGCTAGAAATCGCGCGAGCGAGCGAGTTTGGTGCATCATGTCTTGGCTGTGATCCTAAAATTCCTGGCTCATGGCCGCGATGGAGTGTTTAGATTTCTCCTTCTAGCGTTGTGGAGTTTGGAGGGAAGGATCCTTCCTATCAGTGGAGTACCAAATTGGATCATGATCCGGGTAGAGGACGGCAAGGAGTGTCCGCCAAGCAAGCGCCCCCGGCCAGATCGTCAAGGATCGTCACCAATTCTGGATCCCCTGCTTCCAGGCCTCCCGGATGATCTAGCGCTGCTGTGCCTGGCTCGGGTCGATCGAATCTCCGCGCTGTGGGGAGTGGCGAGGTCCTGGCAGCGCCGCCTGTACGATTGCCCTTTCTTCTTCCCCGCTCGCGCGAAGCTGGGGCTGCCGGGCGGATTTAACTGGCTCTACGTTCTCATCGCGTCCAAGAACACCAATAACAGCTTGGATTTGGATGATCATCGCACCGGAGGCGCCGCCGCCTTCCAGTGGTACGCTTTCGATCCTTTGGCGGCCAAATGGCATCGCCTCCCTCCCATGCCACACGACGTGAGATTTGAGCTCTCGCGCCGTGGATTCTTGCCGGGCCCTTATTCGCTCTCCTCCATCCAATGCGCCAGCACTAGCGACAAACTCATCGTTGTCGCCGGGACACGTACCGCCGGCGCCGGCACCCAGACAGCACCATCATCACGCGCCGCCACCGCCAGCGTACCGCGGGCGCCACCTGGCGGTATGCCGCCGGTGGAGCCTGCGCTGGACAGCCCGCTCGTCTTCCACGTGCGCACCGCCAGCTGGAGCCGGGGCCCACGGTACACCGTCCCGCGCCGCTGGTGCAGCTGCGGCACAACCGCCGGCGGCCAGCTGCTCGTCGCCAGCGGCTGCGGAAACGAGTGGGACCTGCGTACCGCGCGGCAGGCGGAGATGTGGGACACCAACGGCGGCGCCGTCGCGGGGTGGCGCGCGGTACAGCCGCTCGAGTCTTCCAAGCTCAGCCGCGAGGCGACGCCGGCGGTGGAGTTTGACGGTAAGCTCTATATGGTGAGCGCGCGCAGTGGGCTGGTGTTTAATCCGGGGAGCGAGACGTGGGAGCCCATGCAGAGCGGACTGACGCGCGGATGGAACGGGCCCGGCGTCACCTCCGGCGGTAAGCTGTTCGTCATGGATGATACCGCCGGGCGGATCAAGGCGTACGACGGCGGTACGGAGAGCTGGGTTTGCGTGCTCGAGGACAAGAGGCTCAAGAACTTGAGGAATGTGGTGGCGGCGCATGGGAAGATCTGTGGATCGGTAGGGGGATTGATCAGGGTCGTAGACATTGGGAAGAATCCGGTGGAGTTTAGGGACATTGAAATTCCTGTGGAGGGACAGATCATGGGGTTGCAAATTCTCTCCAAATTGGAGGGAAGTGTGGAATTGTGATGAGATTGTCTTTGAATTTTTGCGATGACATCTGTCTTTGATTTTTTGCGACTTTCCAACCATGGAATCTGGTACCTTGGCTCAATTATTTTCAAATCAGCAGTGCCCTTTAGAGGCAAATGTTCCAAGCACAAAAGAAGACTATCATCGCATCTATGGGATCTTATAAGATTCAAGTGTGGGAACTTTTTTTTTAAGAGAAAAAAGTTACAAACAAAAATTGTTTTGGAACTCCGTTACAATCACTTAATAGTGACTCTATTTTTACTATGCGGGAGTGGAAGATCGATCGGGGATTTCTTCCAGAGAGTGCCACCAGCATCCGGAAGAGACCGCCGGCATTTGCGAGTGCTCGCATCGCTCCTCGCGGAGCTTGGCGTGATCGGCCTGTTGGGCGCTCGATTTCCCACTGGGGGCGTAGAATCCGGTCGCTGGATCGGGAACCCACCACGATTTGATCGAGGGCTCCTTGCTCGTCTCCGCCGCCGCCGTCCCGATTGATCTCGTCAAGAACATTCTAAAAAATCGAAAGAAATGAGGCAAAAACATCGAAGAAAAAGCCAAAACTTACATCGATCTTCCCTGCGATGATGAGGCGATCGATCTCTTAGCTACGATTGCCGCCGCCATGGCTAGCTAGAGATTGGGGAAGAAAAAAAATCTCTCGAGCTACCGAAAACTGTGAGACAAGGCCGCCTCTTTAGGCTCTTTAAAAATAGCAGTGTCTGGGAGCGGAATATTCCGCCGCGTCGACAGCCGTGAGCGAACTGTGTACGCCGCCGTCAGTGAGCACGTGGAGTCGGCACTAGGTATAGGGCTACCGCCAGATTCAGCGCGTGAGCGCTCCGCTAGATTTGGCGGCATACCTGTGCATGCTGCCACGCGTTTGGCGGCATCGTTAAACCCCGTTAATAAACCTTTGTCTTTAGCTAAACCCCATGCCAGTTTTTAGGGTTCTTCGATTCGCGCATTTCTGGCGAGATGATCGTTCTAGGGAGCTAGCTTGGGGCGGCGAGCGCATGATCTTTGCTTGGATTTCTGGTGGAGAGATCTTTCGTTTCTCTCATGTGTCATCGCGAGCGGATGCTTCGGGGAGCGAAAGCCCCCAAACGCGCCCCAAGGCCGCTGCCGCTGCTCATCGAGGCGGTGCGATTCATCGGTCATGAGCGCTGGGATTTGGAGGAGTATCCTCAGCTGAGCTGATCCAGGAAGGAGAGGGGGAAGGATTTTCATCCACCGCCAGGTCGGTTGTCCCGGAGATCTTGCTCGAAATTTCGAGCGGCGACAGCGGCAGCGGAAGGGCCTCGCTCGAAATTTCGAGCGGCGACAGCGGCATCGGAAGAGCCTCGCTCGAAATCGAGCGGCGGCCAGCGGCATCGGCCAGATCTTCCTCGAAATCTCGAGAATCTTGCTCGGAATTTCGAGCGATCGGCCATGGGCCAGCAGGATCTGAGGCGGAATCGTGCCCAGCAGCAGAGGAATCAAACTACATTGTTGCATGGCCGATCGAGGAGCGGCGGTGGCCGCGGCGGCGGCGGCAGTGGCAGTGGCAATGGTGGGCGATTCTCGGTGTGCTCTTCGTGGTTCGATGTGCGCGTGCTCTACGCCCGCGTCGCGTTCTGCGCCGTGGAGGAGGCGCCGGAGCTCCTCACGATCTGGTTCCCGCCGCGCGGCATCGACATCGCGCTGGAGGTGAATGGAGGCCGCGTCGCGCCGTCCGAGGAGGCATGCATCGCCCTCCGGCGGGACCGCCTGGACTTAGAGTCCGAGGAGGTGACGTTCGTGAGCACGGACAACCTTCGGACGTCTGGATCGCTGGCTTTCGAGATCTACCATCGCCACGACTTCCTGGTGTCGGGCTGCCTCAAGCAATCGGTGATCAGCAGCCACGATAGCTCCAGCTTCTGTGAGGGAGGTATGCCGGGGATTAGAAAGCTCGGGTGGCGGATGGAGTGTAGCTGCGAGGCCGGTAGCTCAAAGTGCTCGTTTGTTCGCGTCCAGCAGCACCACTTACGATCGCCACCACCACCGCCATCGCCATCGCCCTCTTCTTCTTCCAGTTCCAGCTCGAGCTTGACGACTTTGATGGAAGTTTGCGTGGTGGGGAGGTATATCGGGTCTCCGGTGATTCTAACCCAGACTGTCCAGCTTAATGCGAGGAGAAGCCGGCTCAGGTGCACGGTGCTAGATGTCATCCCGGAGGACGAGGAGTGCTGTGGCGCCGCCACCCCGACGCCCAAGAACAGGTGCTTTGGCAGCGGTGGCGGTGGTGGTGGTGGAGTGCCGAGGAACTGTTTCGTGACCGATCAACAGCAGCAACAACTGGTAGGTTCCCTTAGCCTTTTGGTTTCTTGCCTTCCTTCCGGCCCCTCTCGTTTTGTTGGTTTGCACTGGTTTCTAGGATTTGATTCCTGGGTGGAGATGGTGGCTGCGATTGTTTAGAGTTTTATAGGCATTGTTTTTGCTCTCTCTTTCTCCAGCTCTTTTTCTTTTATTCCTATTGCTGCTGCTTCTCTCCCTCTCTCAGTTATTATCTCCCAGCCAGCAGCATTCATCAGTTTCTCCGAGTGTTTTCTTGCGACAGTCTGTCCATGATTGCCTGCCGCTGTCTGGCCACCAGTTTCGTTTTCCCGTGTTTTTGTTTAGGTCCGGAGATTCTCTCTTCCCATGGACCCGCGCTGATCCCTCGCTTGATTTGATGGCTTTGACTAACAATATCTCTCGCACTCGCTCTCTAAAATCTTATAAATCTCTTTGTCGCTGCAGGGCAAGAACTTCCCAGAGGCTGCCGAAGTATCCGTATCAGCCGTCAAAAGCAGAGACGGCGACGACGGCGTGGATCGCGACGACGATGACGACGAAGAGTTTCGCAAGCTGTACGAGAGCGACTACGAGGAGAATGGAGACGTCTCGTGGTTTAACGCGGGCGTCCGGGTTGGAGTTGGCATCGGGCTGGGGATGTGCTTGGGCGTCGGGCTGGGAGTCGGGCTCATGGTACGCACTTACAACGCCACCGCCAGATCCTTCCGCCGAGGTCTTCTCTGATCTTCATGCTTCTCCCTCTTGTGCTTGTGAATAGAGCGCTTTCTTTTTTACTTTCTTTCTTTCTTTCCTCAAACTAAGAGAGGCCGTTAATAAATAGGTAGAATCCGCAAAATTTTGTTTGTATCTATTTTTATTTTTTTCTCCCATCTTTCTTCTGCTTGATTATATATATTTTGTTTCTGTACGTTGGGAATATCAATAGAGAAAAACGGCAGACCGACGGATCTAAAAATTTTTGGTTGGGATCGTGACATTGTCAATTTGTCACGGGAGAGAGAGAATGAGAGAGCTCGAGCTTTTAAAAAAGTAAGCCGCGGATTCTTTTTTGGGTATGCTGCGGCTTCTATCGGCTACATGCCGAGCCGACAAATCGGGTTTGACTTGATTAGCTTGAGGTCGACCTGCGCAGCAAACACAGGTCAACACATGTGTCTACTCTCTTTCGTCACAGCTCACCTTGTGTCCAAAGAGATCTCTTATGTTGTCGATGCCATATAAAATCATCGTGGGCCTAGAAAGCGAAGCGAACATGAAGAACAAACAAGAAACGCGAAAACCAAGAAATACCTTTCTAGAGATAGCCCCCATGCAATCACAGAGACGTCATCTGGAAGTCCCATTGGAAGGAGCATCTCGGGTCTAAACATGCCCGAGTTTCCGACTTCCACCCACTTATTCAGCTGCTCGTGATAGCTGTTGCAGCACGAAATAAGTGTCAGCAGCGCGGACGATCCGTAGAGAGGATATACTTGCCTGAAAATCTCCATGCTCGGTTCGGTATACGGGTTGTACGCCGGCTTGAATCTCAGCTTCTTCATTCCTGTCAATGCGTTTTAAGCCGAAGAAGAAAAGAGTCGCTGGGTGGTAGAAAGTGTGGCTCACCTAACCGAGAGAAAAAGTCATTAAGAACCCCAATGAGATCTCCGAGTGTTAGGCCCTTGTCACAAATCAAGCCTGAAAATATTACGGTCATTTTGGTGACACAAGAGAAAAGAGACCGCCTTAAACTCACCCTCAATTTGATGGAACTCTGCCAGATGCGTTCTGTCTACTGCTTCGTTGCGAAAGACACGATCAATGGAGAAATAACGCTTGGGAACAAATCCATCCTATTGGGAAACCAAACAAAAGGTCAGTTGGCCAGCTAGTTGATGCCTTCAAGACCCCCGTACCTGGGCCAATTTGTACAGCATACGAGAAGAAACAGCAGTCGTATGTGTACGTAAAACATTCTTCTCGGCCTCCTCCCTTTTCCAATCGTACATGTATCTGCTCCAGGTACAAAGTTTTGAGTGCAAGAAGAAGACGATAGATAAATCATACCCAATGGAACCAAAGCCACCTTGTTCATGGATTGTCTTCACACGCTCCAGGTAGTCTTCCGGGAATGTCTGCGTTTTACAAGGACCTACATGACCATAAAATGATAAACATATCACGAACACACTTACTTTTTAAGAAGAATGTGTCGTGTGAGTCCCGGGCAGGATGCTGCTGCGGCTGGAACAAGGCATCGAAATTCCAGAAGCTATCGTAAAGACAAATGCTTAAACTCGACGCAATTGTTGTCAAGACAAGTACCTGCTTTCAACAAAATTGTTCGTAGGCATCTCCTCAAACCTGTAACCAGTATGATTGCAGTTTTATATAAATAAGGAAGTCACGAAACCCACCCCATCTCCAAGAAAATCTGCCTGAACTTTGTTCGCACCTGAAGGAGACTGTTAACAATGGAGAAGAAAATGGCAAACTCCTGCTACCTTCAGCAATGGATGTAAATGACCACCTTCCGTTGGTTGTCCAAGAGCTTGGAAATTGTACGGTTTGAATGCAACCTCTGACCAGGTTTCCCTGGAAAAACAAGATTGTATCAATTTCCGAAGTAACACTCTTAGATTTACTTTAGTAGCATCTCACGAGTAACCTCAGTTGCCGCTTTCGTTCTCGTTGGAGCGTAATTCGCTCCCTTTGTTATGGAATACGCCTTCCATACCCTGTAAGAACGTTTATCAAAAACGAAACTCTTGATCCCCGAAAAAAGAATATATACTTAGGAACTATAAGCTTCCGTTTTTTCAAAGCATCAATGTCAGCCGCTGATAAGTTCTGGAAAAAAGCAGACAAATATGAAACTTAGACTCGCGACAATATAAATTTCTTCACCTTGCCATCCTTAATGTCTAGTAGCTGTTGTTTCACAACATCCTCAACCTTCAAAACCTTGTGAAGAAAGAAACGGAAGTTAGAATAACACAACAAAACTTCTATAGTCTTACCTTACGAGAAACCAATGGCTTGGTCTCCAGCCACTTGTTACTCATTGCTTTGCGGAAACCAATGGAAAACACACTGTCATCCAGCTTTCTCTACAAATAGAAGATAGAAGATATCAAAGGAATCACAATAGCGTGACACAAACCTGCAAATCTTCTCGCGAAATCCCTCCAGCCGGAACCGCGTCAAACACTTGTACCTCGGGGGAGCCATTCCGGCTGTACACCAGCCCCTCCTCCGTCAACTCCCACGACTCCCGTCTCACATCCTACACAATGCGGGCGTTGCCGACCACAATCCTCGCGAAATCGACCTCACCTTGGCCTCAATGAAGCCAAATCCGTGCAAACTCTTGATCGTCCCCGCCAGCAGCTCGTGATCCACGCCTAGATCCCGCGCAAACGCCTCGGAATTGGAAATCTCGGCATTCGACTCCAGGAAAGCGAGAAGCGCCCTCTCGGCGCCATCGGCGTCCCTCATCCCCACTACAACCCTAAGTTTCCACTAAACCCTAAATCCCCGAAAACTTTAATGCATTAGTTTTATTCCGTACAATTCACTTGTAATTGTACGCCATTGGGCCGAGGACCGCTTTGACAACATCGCAGCCGTCGGTCACGTTGTAGCTAAAGGGGAGTCCGTACGAATCCGCCGAGAACATATTGCTGTTAGAGCCGCCAGTTCCCAGGCAGCTTGGAACCCACAGCCCCTCGTCCGCAGTCCCGTTGCTCCCAGCGAGCTTGTCCTTGTACCGCGAGAGCCTGTTCGTAAACTCCGCCACCGAGATCTTGTATGGATAGACGTTGTGCTGGAAGTTCTGGTAGAGCACCGTCCTGATCACCATCTCCTGCCGGGCTTTGGCAGCGGCGAGGGATCCACAGAGCTGCAAAGACAAGGATTCTGTGAGTTAGCGAGCTCTCTTCTGGCTCTTCCAACTCTCTCCTGGGTAGAAGTAAAAAGAAAGAGCTTACTCTGTTGGTGGCTGGGCCTTCGCATCTGTCAAGGATACCAGTGTAGCACTTGGTGAGGAGGCCAGAGAACCAGTAAGCTCCCAAGAGTGTGGTGTAGTCGTTCTTGTACCAGTCGAAATCCGGCCACAGTGTGTGTCCCATAGCATCGTTGACAATCCTGCTAAACCTGGAGCAGCTCACGTCGATCCCCGGCCGGTTGCAAGACTTGTTACTTCCAAGAGATAACTGGATCGCCCTGGAAAGGAAGACAATGAGAAGGAGAGCTTTGCAGCTAGCTTACTTCAAGTGATCCAGGCTCTGGTAAGCGATCTGCCGCATCATATCCTCGGCGCTGGGAGAGAGGTACGCCTTCTCGCCACCTCGCGGAGGATCGGTACAGTTCCCAGCGAGGCTAGAGTCCAAGTAGTCCATAGTCCTCCCCATGGACGCCTGAGTGTAGAACTCAGTAGCCACGTACTCTATGTTGGCGCAGCAGCATAACAGCGTTGCCGACTGCGGGCTTGGTTCGCAACGTGGCGGCGGTGGACGAGTTGGTGCCGGAGCTGGTGGTGGCGTTCCCGTACTAAAGATCCCGCTTGTTGTTGATATTTGGTGATTCTGGGCTCTCGTGCTGTTTGTGGATTTGTGAAAACTCTGGAAAACCACCGAGGACTCCGAGCTTCCAGCGGGCGGAGGCGACATTGATGCAGGATGCGGATGGGGACATCCTTTTGGAGGTTGATAAACTGCGGCCGAGTCCACACAGCACTTATCGTCATCGACCGGCTGAGCATGAAAAGAGCTCACAATCAGTACTAGAGTTGTTGCTGGAAGAAAGAGACGTTGGAACGCCATAGATAGCCCAGGTACCTTCACAAGATTTTATACTCGTACTGCAATGCTCTTTGCCCCTTCGAGGATGAGGCGGAAGACCCGCGCACTCCAAAATCATGGATTTTATTTAAACGGTCTGCTTCTGCAAGCACAGTAATAAGTAAGCAGTGAGTCAGCGACCAGAAAACTTTTTATGCTTAACTGCGCTTTCGATGGTTCATCTCCGTAGCCAGCCTCCCTGCAAAATCCAAGAAAAAACAATCTTCTCTTGAATCCCCGACTGTGACACCTGACGATGAAACAACTGTGACTCAAGACAGACATCTTTACAAAGAGACAGGATGCTCCAAACAAGTACATACAAAAACGTGACGAGAAGAAGTTACAACCAAAAGGAAAGCTGAAATGATCGACAGAGACAACGTTGAGTTTTTAGAGACTTGATTGTGGAAACTAGTGTAGGATATTGCAGTGCTGTTGATAAGGTCGGCCAGCTCTGCAAAAGCTCAGGCGTTGCTTTCACAAACTTCCAGCTAAAGAATGCATCAAATAGAAGAGTAAGCAACTAAAGCGAAGCGATTCACGTTGTTTAATCACAGACCATCCACAGATGACAGCGTCGATGTTTACGCCCACGGCTGCGGAGCAGCACCACCCAGGCAGAACTTTACATAATGGACACATTAACAATTCAGGACCGGACACGCCAAGAAGCCAACCTCAACAAAAAACAAGGACGAAGAATGCGGCAGCAAACGACTTCCGAGAAGAACAGCTGGTGTCTGTCCTGCCTTGGACTTCACACACCAGTTAATGATTCTCAGATACAATCCGTTGCTTTCCAAAATCTTGTACAGGAAGCCCGCAGTTTAGTAACAGCAGTGGCAGCCAGAGGCATGCAGAGACACACACGTTACACGCAGGGAAACAAAACGAAATGCCTGTCTAATCAAACTCAGGAAAAAAAGGACAAGGAAAAGTTTCTTTACATGCAGAAAAGAACATAGAAAGGCTATGGGATCATAAAACAACAAATAGTACCTATTCAAGACGCCTTGCCACGCTTGTTATCTTCCCAGTTTTCTGGCCATGACATCCTCGCAAGTGAACCTTCAGAGAATCTGGCTTGAAAGTTCGACCACATTGCCTAGAACAAGAAGACTTCCGAGTAAGTGTAAGCGGCTCCGGGCAGAAACTTACGGGCATTCTTGCAGCAACAATCTGAAATCCACGGGAGGAGAACTTGCATTGACAGCCTCTTGGAGGGTCTTTTCCCAATCGAGTCGGCTTCGTCCTGGTGTTAGAGGCCTGCAACGAAAAAGCTAGAGGAGTTTGAAACTTTGCGAACTAACGGAGTCCTACCTGTCTTCCTTGCACTTCATTTCCTTTTTCGGGGGGCTGAACTGCACCTTTAGCGTTGGAAGTTCCACATTAACACGTTTTATCGCAGGCGATAGACGGGGGCTGTTGTCTTCGACCTTCCGGGCTTCCTTAGTTGCAATAAGCATACTGTTCTGTAACTTTCTTGCCTCCTCGCGAGATGCCTTGTCTACCAAGGATCGTCGGTCCGCATGGCTTGCAGCCGGGGAGTTCGTCGTCTCCTTCACAACTTCTGGAATAGATTCAGGATCCTGACTCGAGCTGACCAAACGAGCTGGCATCCTAGGAGACTCCCAAGAAGGAAGAACATCGTGTGGAATCTTGGAAGCACTCTCCGCTTCGGACCTGGTATCTGCTTTGGACTTGCTCCAAGCCCATGCTTGCGGTGGATAGTGCAACCTGTTGTACTGCATGGAGGAACAAGTGTTCGTATCGATCCCACCACAGGAGAGCAGCTGCCGAAGAACCGCAGTGCTTGTTTGCTTCCGGCTACTCTCCTCCAGTTGCTTCCTTACGGTAGAAACCAAACCAGCTCTCTCAGACTTCGTCCTGGAGCTTTGAGTTTCCTGATCACGTTGACAGCTTCTCTCCTGATCGTGCTGAACATCTCGGTGAAACTGGAACTCGTGAGTGTTTTTACCAGAATGCTCCTCCGTCTGCGTTGCTGCATCCTTGCCGTGGTCCGCAGTCACAGGAGATGCCGGAGTCTTGTACACTTTGACGTCAGTGAAAGTGTTGCCGTTGCTTGATCCATCCGAGTGTGGGTTATCGTAGAAGACTTCGTCCATGGATTCGGTCTTTGCCTGCGTGAGCGTCTCCATGAGCTGCCTGTTCACTCTGAGAGCGCCTTCGCAGTTGAAAGCTTTGTTCCTGTTCCTGGGCGATCTGCTGCCAGCGACGGAAGAAGAAGACAATGAGCTCCGCTTGTCATAGCCTTCGCTTGCTCGCATGGGAGTGTGGTGATGATAAGACATTGGACTCTCGAAATCCTTGTGTTCCTCCTGGATGCTTGGAACTCTTCCCCGATCGCTACGACTCTCTGGAAGGACGAAACGAATGAAAGATCATCCAAAGAACCAAACTGACCTTGTCTTCCATACACATTCTCCGATCCTTTGATGATATACTCATTGTCGCGAAGCGGTAAGATCAGGTCATTCTCTGTCACGTCGTTCCAGATGAAATCGTTCTTGTAGCTCCTGGCAAGAGAAAATCACGCGAGGAACCACATAAAAAGGGGAGAAAGAAAGAACACAGCGAACCTTTTGTAGGCCCAGGAGAAGGCATCCGGCATGCCTTTCCCTCGCAGCACCGTCAATCGCTTCTTCACCTCTGCAGCACGAAATTATCTCAGCAAGTCCAAGATATCGACGATCGATCCCATCGAAAATACCGCTCAGGCAGAGACGATTTCCCTCTTGCTCCACCTCGATGAGATGCGGCTGCTCCATCCGTCCCCCATGGCTGAGATAATACACGACCTGGACACGACACATCACTGCATCGATCGATTTGCCGAGATGATCGAGCTACAAGGCCGCCGGGATCGATCCAGCTGCTTGCCGATGGCCACACGCGCTGCCGCCACCGCCGCCCGGCCGCCGCCGCCCCAGGCGTGAAAACAAGAAAGAAACTAAGCAAGCCTAGCTCTACTTGAGTGTGAGTGTGAGACATGGGATATACGGAGGGCCCAGATTAGCAGGACCACAAACGGTCATTCGGCCCAAACCTTCCGTACGGTCATTTTCTTGATATTTTTTGGAAATATTGTTGCTATACATTCTCATCTTGTGTGATTGGGGCCTATACAATGTAGCTGGTGGAAAGAGCACTGTGATCGCTATTAGATCGTTTCCTCAGGCGGGAAATTTCTAGGGTTTATCATTTTCTAGGGTTCTAGACGATGAAGGTAACGTTCTTTCTCGATTCCCAGAGAGATGAAGCGTCTTGTGTTCTTGCAGAGGCAGCATCCTCCCGACGACGACGAGGACGGTCGCGGCAAGCCGAAAGCCAGGGAAGATCAAGCCCAGGCGCTCGACTTGAATGCGACTCCGCGAGGATTCGATCTCAATGCGCCATTTTCGGAAGAAGAGGGGCAGGAGTGGATTGCTGGCAGTGGCCAGGAGGATGCTTTGCATCGCGAGATTTTCAAGCAGCATCTGGAGCCAGCAGCTGATTTGGGAATTGACGAAGGTGTGCTTTTTTGTCTTTGCTTGATTCCTCATCTCACTTTGACGCTCTCATTTAGATTTGGATATTCTACATTCGATTTGGAGCGCGTGGACACAGGAAAATTGGCAGCGGCTAGACGAGATTCTGGAGTCTGTGCTTGATGAAATCAGCAGATTTCCATCCTCGCCTCCGAGATATCAGTACCTTACTTGCTTTTACATTTCCAAAAAGCTGCCAAACGCTTTCTGTCTTCCAAGAACATACAAGGTTCGTCCTCAAGGATATGACTGTTTTTCACTTTCAAGGATTTTCCAGGCTTTGCTTTCCTTCCTTGATTCAAGTCCATCTGAGGCTTCTACAAAGAAACAAAACTTTCTACCTGGTTTTTCTTGCAAGCTCTTGTTTCGAGCTTTTAATGAAAAGCCCGAATGGCCTTTAGAATTTGTGCAGGTACGCTGTGGCTGTTTGTCTCACAGAAGGTCTCGTGCTTGGGTTTGAGTGCAGGCCTACTTAGACGATGCGATCAACTTGCGTAACTGGGTGGACAGTGAGCACTGCAAAGAGTTTGTCGCTAACATACTTACGTCATTTGATGAGGTAATGCTCGATGGTTTTGCATCTTATTTGTACGTGCTTCTTGCTTTTAGGACCTGACAGTGGGCACGGAAGATCCATCAGATGTCAAGGGCGATACTGCTCAGGTACTTCGGTTTCCAGTTTACAGCATGTCTAGGAATGCTTTTTGTTTTATGTAGCAGTGTAGCCTTAAAAACCGATACCCTGGGGACGAAATTCGTCAGAAGGCTAAGGCTGAGTTTATGCAAGCCCTCAATCATCTCTTAAAGGTTCCATTGATCAAAGAAAATCCCCGTATTCTAAGGTTTTCAACATTTTTTTTCCTTCGAGGTTTATCTCTAAGTCCTGCTCTACAGGATGTTGACACTAGGTGTAAACTACGAAGAAGTTCGGGTCATTGCATCAAGCATGATGGAGGGCTGGTTGAATACTCCCTTCCATTTTCGTCGCGCGAAACTTCTGCTGGATCGTGTTCTACATTTTACAAATGGCACAACAATGAAAGATTTTGAAACGGTTGCAAATATTTTATCTCTACGATTGAATCAGGGCGTTTCTCAGGTTAGTGACTTGTTGGTGCCTAAGTACTTAACCGTGGCACTGTTCCCAGATGAAGAATGCGTCGACCTCGTTTTATACAGAGCTTGTCATTCAGATAGTTCAGAAAAGACCAGAATACTCGTCTCTGGCATTAAAGGTACTTCGCTTCTAGTGCGTGTTTGATAGCTAATCTTATATACTCAGACATTTCTTACCGCGGAGCTGAATTCGACGGGCCCCCATAATATGAAAGGCATTTCAGTTGTTTTAAAGGCTTTGCCGGATTCGCTTTCTCCGGAGAGAGCTTTGGCGTTAGTGATCAAGGTAATACATCAGAAAGGATATGCTCTTCCGAATAATGTGCTGCTGTGCAGGAATTGGTTTTAAGTGACGATCATGTAGGACGGCTGCAGGAAGCCGTGACCAGGTACGTTTTCATCAACGTTTTCGTCATGTTCAGTTTCGTGTAAACTTCAGGGTTTTGAAGCAACTAAAAGAGATTAGCCCTTGTCTCTTATGCCGGGCTCTACTTGAACCCTGGGATTCTATATTGCAGCAGCAGGATTCAGCCAGGCAGTCATGGTTCAAGCAGGTAAGAATATTATCAAAACGATATCAACCTTTGTTTTAATTCTCTACTACTTGGTTGCTGCTACAAGGTGATAGAGCTATCATGCCATTTTCTGATTCAAGCGGCTACTCCTTTTTCCTCCGATGAAAATTTCTCGTTGCCATTTCTGCGACTGGAAAACGATCTAGAGATGAATCTCTCAAGGAGATATTGCCTCTTTTTAAAGATCTCAGCATGAAGATTATGACCTTTCAAGTAAGAGCTCTAGAGCTCTCTTACTTGAAGCTCTTTTTCTATTTTGTGTTCTCAGGAGGAAGCGTTAACGTGGTGTGTTGACGTGCTTAGCTCACAGCTAAGCGCTGGAGATTGCAAGTTTTTCACTACTGCTGTACAGAAGCTTATGTTCTTAGAACCTGTTGAGGTAGGCAGTAGTGCATTGGCTTTTCGAATTTTGACGCTTCCACCAGGAATATAACTTATCATCGTCGAGTGGTACCGTCGAGCTAAACTCTTTCCAGCTTGTTGCATTCTCCATGCACGCTTCCGAGGAAGTACTTGCGCGAATAATTTTGATGGGAATATCGGTATTCTCTCTCTTTCGAGTTTTTGGGGACTTGTAATGAAGTTTAGGAACAAACAGAATCAGTTCCCGATGCAGCAAGAAGATGCTCTTCACATAATTGAGAAGCTGGTGTGGCGGGCGGCCGCTTCGGATAAGCATGCCTTCGGGACGCTGTTTGCTGATAGCTTGCAGGTGAATATCAAAGCTTTTATCGTACTTTATCTGCCTAATTTTGGTTTGTAGTTACCTGCAGCGATTATGAAGCTTTCATCGTTTTACTTACCAAGTGTCTCTCGGCAGCCATTGCCGCAACTTGTCGTAAGCATTGCTGCTTTGAGTTTTGCAAGACCTGAGAAACTTTTGACAGATAAAAGATTTGTACTGGAGGTCTTGCCTAGTTATTATAGTTATCGCTGCTTATAATCCAGCGACAATTGGTAAGAGCGTTTGGGAGAACTTCCCATCAGTCAGATATCTTCTGCAGTACCTTATAACAGAAGGCACAAAGTCGGGGTTTGTTTTTCATGGAATGTTAACGTGACTCTAATGTTTTTGAGCTTGATGCAGTTTGTCGGCAGCAGATATCCTTGAAGACAAAGAGGCTGTACTAAACGATATCAAGGCTGAGGAAATATTAGACTCTTTTCTGATAAAAGAGTTGGAATGCGAGCCCACGAATGTGATGGAACCATGGAAAGGAAATATCATGCTCTTAAACACCCAGACCAATCGAAGAAAACCTCCAACTTACATTTTGGAAGAGCTAAAAGATATCGAGCCATCTTATGACTTGGGCAGAAGGATCCGCTCCTGCACGGAACCAAGCTTTTTGTGTAATACGGTCAGTTCGCAGGTACAACAGATGATAGGTATCACCTGCTGGTTTTCATTTCTATTTTCCTTAAAGCAGGACTTCAAGGAAGCCTGGGAATGGATCCAGAAGGTCGCGGGAAAACAGCCAGAAGTACTGGGAATGCTGCCTTGTGATTGGCAGGTAACTTCGTTTTCAGCTCCTAAACTTTAATAATCAGAATTTGAAAGCAGTGCAAGCTCCTCTATCGCTTCATATTTCAAGCTGCCAAGTCTCCTATACACGATTTTCTACATAACTTGAGAAAGCTGTTTTCTGAGGACAAAGCTTCCGAAGGTGACGCTGTTAGTGTTATGAAGTTCCTGTCCGATAAATTGGTATCTCGGAATTCTCATGTCCGAGCTTGCGGGCGAAAATGCATCTCTGGTATTATGAACGGCATGGTGTCGAAGACTGCGGATCCTACAGTAGATATTTATGCTCAAAGTGCCGAATTTACTTGGCTTGAGGCACTTGAGATTGCAAAACAAGCGGCAACGGTTTCTAGCGCCATTCAGGAAGCTTTACAATACGAGTCCTCCATAGACGTGGTATGCAGTTTCAAAAGTATACTTTAGAAGTTTTAAGTGCGCTGCTTTTCAGGTGTGGGCATATCTGAAGTTTCTAAAGAAGCAACTATCAACTTCATCTTTGGCTTATCTCAGTGCGCGCTTGCTTGTATCAAGGAAACTTTTGGCCTCTAGCCTTCTGTCGACATCAGCAAAGGAAATTATTTCAGGTTGGAATGGCGAGAATGCTTTTCCCATCTTGGAATTTTTCTTGGATGCTTTCAACACAGTCTGCACACAGCCTTTATCTAAATGGGATGATGTTCCTGGTTCTTTGGTGAAGCTATTTTCTAAACGACACGATGGTACTGTGTTTCATATGGAAATTCCAAATATCGTGGTCGAGGCAATGGTGAAACTTCTGGGTTTCATTGGCTCCAACGAAAATGAATCTTCCAGGGAGATGGTCTCATATGAAAACATCGTTCAGTTTCTCCTTCCAGGCTTTTTGGCCAAAGATGGGGACTTATCAATGGCTTATATTGAGCTCAGCACCGGAGAGAAACTATCAATTCTATCGAAGGAGCAACAAGACTGTCTCATCAGCACAAAGGATGCGCGACTGGTTAAAGCTGGTGAGCTTGTGCTAAACGTTCTCTTAGCTACTTATATTGTTTTTCCTTCCTTGCAGGACTCATGGATATGGACGCTCGTCTCAAGGTTGATGCCTTAATCAATCTACACGTATCGGTTGAAGCAAGGGAGTGTCTGCTTGAGGAACTTTCGAGGCTTTCCGAATCAAGGTAGTAAGGCCTTTTTGTATCTAGAGTACTTGACTATTGCGTTCATGCAGTGTGAAAAACATACTTCAGCCCCTATCCACCTGGGAGCGTCTATGGATTTCTGGATGTTTTCCAAATATCGAGGAGCCGGGAACGAGTCCATTCTTGAAGAGTATCTGGTATGGCTTTGTGTTCTTATGTATAATCTATAACTCGTATTTGTTTCAGTGAGCTGAAAGAAAACGTAAACGCGCAATGGCTGTAAAGATCGGACTCTGGTTAAAGTTCTTGAAACTGTAGAGTGGACCACACTCAGGTACTTTAATAGGTGACATTATCGAAGGTGAAAGGGCCAACGATTTTATTGCAGCTTCACTCATCAGCAACATGCCGGAGGTTTGGACTAGCTCGGTTTCTTTTGCTTTCCCAATTGTTGAAATTTTTTTTCTTGCTTTCATTCCAGATTGTGGAGCTCAAAGTGGCAATGTCCTGTCAGGGATGTGTTGGTGCAGTGAAGCGAGTCCTTGGCAAGCTGGAAGGTGTGTCACTCCATTTTTGCTACTCGAAAGCTTCTAGATCGACTCTGTTGGTTTCGCAGGAGTGGACAATTTCGAGATTGATCTCAAGGAGCAAAAAGTTTCGGTGACAACGAGCAGCCTCAAGCCGGAACAAGTGCTAGAGGCGGTGTCAAAGAGTGGAAAGGCGACCTCGTACTGGCCTGAGCCTCCAAAGGGAGATGCAAATCCCCCAAAAGAAGTAGCCCCAAAAGAAGTGTCTTGAGCAAAGAGTTGAAACTATTGTAACTACTTTTACTTTGAGTTTTACTTTGTTTCTTGGATCGAAGGAATGTTCCTCGGTGTATTTGGCATTTCCTTAGAAAAGTATGTGGCATTTATAATTGATGGTTGCTTGCCAAGGGAAAGAGTAAGTTTTCTTCTTGTTCGATGAGGAGAGCTAGCGCCCAGGCGCTGTACAGCAATCGCACGGCGCGCGCGCTCCATAATCTCCCCTCCAGGCGCCGGTCGTCCCGCCTCAATCGCGTAAGTCTCTCGTTTCCTCCTCGATCGAGCTCTACAATGCCGACCTAAATCCCGCAGCAAGCCTTTGTCATTGCTCTCGTCGCGCTCTTCGTCCTGTGCTCGATCGGCCTCGTAATCTGCTGGAGCTTCGTCTTCCCCGACGACGCGACGCGGATTTCTGGTAGCAAATCGGGGCCCCGGGTGTCAAGGATCGCGTTTGGATCGTCTTCTTCTCACGATTACAGCGCTCAGCCGGCCTGGGTCCATGGGATCATTCCAAGCGATCCTCACGCATGGATATGGTAAGAGAATGGATCATTTTCGGTGTTTTAGCTAGAAACAATACTTTCCAGGCTCGGTAATATGGCTTACTTGGATGAAGCTCGAGTGAACTGCGATGCTTCTCCAAATCACTACCAGTGCAACTGCTCGGCAGATTGGCTGAGACAGCCTCCACATTTTTGTATGACAGGTGAGAACTTGCGAGTTTAGATTTTAGAAACGTTCTCTCTTTTATCATAGTCTATTTGATTCGATGCATTTTTCTGTTCTAGGTGACTTGGAGCATGCCGCCAGCAAGATGCAAATTCAGCTTGCCAATCCAGACTATGCGCAGGCAAATCTTTTTTGCGAACTTTTCTTTCCATTTTTTTTCTCCTTGACAAGGCGAGCGCTCCGATTTTTTTACAGTTTCTCGCGTTCATGTGTCCTGGACATCGAGAAAAAGGCTTGTTTCCTCCTCCCGGTGCTGATCCAGCAGTGTGCCCGAAAAGGATTTTTGGAACATATAGTGACCACGACTATGGATGGTAATGAAGCTAAAGGCTCTGCTGCTTTACTGATATATGTCTGTTTATACAGGAGGCATGGAAATAAGCGGCTGCCTCAAAAGGATGCCTTGAAACAAGTTTTCTTAGATGCTCTTGGGGAAAGTCTTGACAGCCCTCGGAGGAATGGTGGTCGTGGAATAGAATGGAAGGTACTATAAAATTTAACAAACGTTTGAAGGACATAGATAAGCTTTTTTTGTCTTTCCAGTACACGCTGAATCAAGAAAGTAAAGGCTATGAGATTGATGTCATCCTTTTAGACACTCGATACTATCGTGATCCGCTACCATGCCACACTAAAAGAGCATTTTGCAAGGACATTACAAGGACAAAAACTTCTCCTGAGCATCGTGCATGGTAAGTTTTTTTGGTTCGCAAGCTGTTCACATTGCATTTACAGGTGTGAGGATTTTCTCGGAGGAGAGACTGGGATGGGGAGTTGCTGTGGCAAGGATAGTCTGTTCTTGAATGGTCTGCAGTGTATTTTTCTTTCACTTTACTTATGTTGTCCTTTACAGAATCAGAGCTGCCTAAGTTATTGTCAAACTCTAACTTCTGCGACGTTCTTGGAAACCATCAAAGAAATTGGCTGGAAACCACTTTGCTGCAGTCAAATTCACCTGTAAAGCTAATAGTGTCAAGTTCATCTGTTCTAGCAGCTGATGACGAGGTAAGACTGGGTTTGTTCT